TTCCTTTACTTTGTTTTTTAAAAACATACAGAACTTTACATTTTATTTAGTCAAAATATAAATATTTATCTTTGGGATTGCTTCCATCTATTCAAATTTAGAAAGTCTTTCCCCACTAGAAATCTGACAAATATTCATTTCTGCTTTTTCTAATTTTCTTTATCAGGTGACTTTTAAATTTTAACACATTGACCTAAATGGAACTTATTTTGATGTATTGAGTGGAATTCAGTATTATAAAGCACTTTGTTATTTATAAGCACTGTGATCAGTTCCTATAACTTTTGTACAAAAATAAATGGCAATCTCTTCTCAGAGATATTTGTATTTGGAGTCATAACATTTTAACATTGTATAGAACATTTTAATTTTACTTAATAGATTAAAGGCTCTGAGGATTTCTAAGTAAAGACATTTACTTAACCTATTCCCAATAAATTCCCAAATTTATTTTGAGCACTGAAGCTTTGTGAGCAATGCTTATTAAATGAACTAAGTTAAATATAATTTTAAAAATAATAAATTAGAGATTAAAGTAGACTCCTGTTTAATATCTTTTCCATTCCTAATCCTCCCTGATCCCTTTATAGTCATAAGGGTGAAACATTTATGTTTATGGAAATAGCAGTTGGGGTTTTTTTCTGAAAGCTGGTTTCATTTGTCGAGTATTAACAACAGGATTTGTAATGTTGGAGGTGATTCAATTTTTCTTGGAAACTACCTTTTTATTTTTTTAAAGATTTTTTTTATTCGGGAATTGGGGGATGGGAACAGTGCTGGGGATTTGGGACAGGGGTACAGACAAGTTGCTGTCTTTTTGTTCCTCAGTCTAGTTGTGGAGGACGTCGCTTCACTGGCCCAAATTGGCACCATCATTGCGCTCTTCCTGGGCAAGGCAGATCAGTTGCCAGCTTCTGGATGGCCGCTCACGCTGGCTGCTGGCTACACACAGTTGCCCATGGCAACCCACTGCAGCAGAGGCTGCATCTTATGCCATTGCCAGCGACTCACGGCAGCCCAGCTCCAGGTTGAGCTGTTGTTCAGCATCATAGCTGTAGAGGGCAGTGTCACTGGCCCTCATTTGTGGGGTCCGAACTGGGGCCCTCTGGCATCCCAAGCCAGCTCTTAACCAACTTGCCACTCAGCTGGCCCGGAAACTACATCTTAAACCAGCATCAAACAGATGATGAGATGGTATGAAACTATGAAACAGAGATTGATCAATTGCATATCTTCATTGGAGAAGTGTGTATTCAAATCCTTTGACTATTTCATAATTGGCTTGTCTTTTTATTTTTCAGTTGTAAGAGTTGTCTCATTAAGGTTTGACAGGGTGATACTGCTAGGCACCAATACAACAGCAAACACAAGAAAAGTGGGCTCTGAAATTACAGTTGTACTGAGTTTTAACATGGTCATCCATAAAATCCATAAACAAATTTGTTTATACTGGGTTGGCAGAATGGTACTTTGGGTAGGAGTTGGCTTGGGACACCAGCTCTGAACAGCAGGGCCCCGGTTCAGATCCCACATGAGGGCGAGTGACGCTGCGCCCTCTACAGCTAAGATGGTGTACAACATCTCCACCTGGAGCTGGGCTGCCGTCGGTCGCAGGCGAGGGCTTAGGCTGCAGTGGGACTGCAGTGGGCTCCCATAAGCTACCACGTATGGCAGGCAGCAGGCATGAGCTGCCATGAGCTGCCATGAGCAGCCATCCAATGGCCAATGACCGATCTGCCTCACCCGGGAAGAGCACAATGATCACAATACCAACATGGGCCAGTGAAGTGACGTCCTCCACAACTAGACTGAAGAACAAAAGGACAGCAACTTGTCTGTTTCCTTTCCCCAATTCCCCAACGCTGTTCCCTCCCCCAATTGCCCAATAAAATCTTTAAAAAACAAAAATTGTACACATCTAGACCGTGGTGATATATGAAAATATGTTCATGAAACAATGTTAACTACAAAATATTTGTTTCATCCAGATGTACATTCACATACTTTAATAGATTTACAAATGTTTCTGTCATTTTGTCCAGACAAAATCTATAAAAATATATTTATTCTTATAAATATATTAAAATACATGAATGTATTTATAAATGTCTACACCATAGTTGTCTTCAAACAAAACCTATTTCAAACAGATTATATGTATATTTATGACTCTATTAAAATATATGAATGTATATTGACAAATAAATGTAATATTAACATAATTTTATGTTTATTGGATCCTTTGGTTTCAATAAAAGCAGTTTTACAAAAATGGTTCTTTTTATTAATAAGCATTGATCACGAAGTTCCAGTGCTCAAAACAAATTTGAGGATATTGGGAATAGGTTAAGTAAATGTCTTTACTATAGAAATTCTCAGAGCCTTTAACCTATTAATATGCATTGTGAATCTCTAAAAAAAAATCTCTAAAATAATCTCTATTATTTATATCAAAGTATATTTTCATAGAAATTACACTTATATTACTTGTGTACACAAATTTGTGTAAATCTTATTTGCATTTGTTTCCTAGTATATCTTCCCAACCAAACAATGTATTCTATCAGGACAGGTAAGTGTAGCTGGGTTCTTCACCATTGTTCCTAGTGCCCCAGCCAGGGCATATAGCAGGAGCGCAATCAATATTTTATAGTGTATGAATTACTGGCGGAGCATCTGGAGGGACTAGTGCTTGAAGTTACACACTTTGGGAACTACCACTCTCAACTTATTCAACTGTAGAATAATTTCAAAGAAGAAATTGTGCTAACACCTCTAGGCCACTATAGACCCATTTAATAAACTATTGCTGCCCTTCAGTAGAATCAATTACTACTTCATGGAACTGAGGAGATTTCTCAGAGAGCACGTCATGACCTGGAAAAAACTTGCGAAATCATTTTTATACTCTGAAACTTCAAGTGAAAAACAGTAGTAAAAATTATAGTTAGTGTGAGTTGAGCTGAAAGAAATTGCAAAAATACCAACAATTTTTTGGAACACATTTCACTCCATGAGATTTTTCCACCAAGTGTATTTTCTTATTTTAATTATTAAAGTATGATTAAGCAGATAGTCTTCCTGGAAATTCCAAATTATTGACTCATTGATTTTCTTTTAGGATAAGTGATTTCACATATTACTATTTTTTTTTTGATAGTCAGAGTCAATGTTAAGACAGTTTTAGAAATGTTAAGACAGTTTTAGAAATATTTAAAATGTGTTGTACCTACATAATTTATGATTCTAGGATAGTTAGAAAATGGTATATCTTGTAATAACCCTTTGTGAAAGTTATGTACTACTATTGTCTTTTTAAAGCTACACACTTTCATTAACTGCTAAGATTCATGAATCCTCTCCAATTTCCTCCAAAAGTACTAGGGGAAAAATGCTAATTGCATTATTTGAGAATCGTGTTAAAGTGAAATAATAAAAATTGATATAAAATTTAATTAATTTTTTCCAGTTACTACAACAGGAAGAATTTTACCAGCTGTCAATGTCCCATACCCTGACATACCACTAAAAGCTTAGCTTATGCCTAAACTTTAAACTTTAATCATATTTGATGGTGGAGGAGGGAGCACACGTCAAGTCAAACAAAGGATGTATTTCCAAAGCAGCATTTGCAAAGGTTAATCTGTGTATGGACTTCAGAGGGGAAAGTGCAGCGTCCAATGATCGATCCAAGACCCCCTTCTCGGTTTATTCCCTGGTTAATAAACCACCGGGAGAGATCATTTTTAAACTTAATTTGCTGAAATGGGATTTCACTAACCTATGGAAAGGATCTCCAAATTTGAGAAATTTCAGTAAATTGGTTTTATATCTGAGCATAAAGATCTTTTGCTTCTTCTACTGACACATTCTAACAAGAGATAAAAGGCACCTGACTACCTGGTAACCTACAGGGAGAAATTTCACAGAACCCAGAGCCAAAGGTGCCCTTTTCAGCTCAGAGATCCCCTGAACACTCAAGGCCATTGTGGCCCCAGGGAGTTGAAGAGGCCTTCCCAGGAACACAGGTCTCCTAACTCCAGGCTTAACCCTCTTTTCCCCAACACCAAAGCTCGCATGGCACCAGCTAGAGTGAAGGTCAAAGTCAACAGGCTGATCTCCGGTCTGCCAACTGTGAGGGTCCTCCTCTCCGAGGGAATTTTAAGCTATGGTTCGCGAAAGGACATTTCTGAACATTTTATTCCAAAAACACAGTTCAGCCAAAAGATGGTTTGAGCGGGTGGAGGTGAGAGAAAGATCACGCACAGGAGAAACTGCGCAGTTTCTTGGAGACTTGACAGGAACTGAGAGTGGGGAAGAGGGAATGGGGGTGGGGGGCGGGTTGGGGGACGCGTAATAAAAAGCAGTCTAGAGAGGAAAGACGACCACCAAGCACAAAAGCAGTTGAGTACAAAAGTGGGCTTGATTTTTCTAGAGCCCTTTCAAAAGGACTCCTCGGGGAGCCCTGCAGGGGGGGCGCAGGAGAGGGGCAGATGCTCAGCTGCTCCCAGTTAGAGGGGAGCTCAAAACTGCAGCCGCGCAACAGGGACTGCTGGCTGCACAGCCCGCCCCCCTCGGGTCTTCGCGTCCTCCCGGACTCTCCTCAACGCCCTCCCCTGGCCCCTCCGGACTCCGTGACTCCTCCCTGCGCTCCACGGCTGTCCTCCTCGTCCGCCCTGCCCTCCGGCCCGCTCTCCCGCTGCCCGCTCCCCGCTCAGCGCCCTCCCTGCGCGTAGCCCCTAGCGGCGCGTCACCGCGGGGCCGGCCTCGGCGCGCCTCCCTCCCTCCGCCTCCGCTCCGGCTGCACGCGATCCAGCCCGGGGAGGCGGGGGAGCCGCCGGAGCGCGACCGCCAACACAGCCACCCTGCAGCCGCGGGTCGCAGGCGCAGTCCCTAGGCCGTGGAGCCCGGGCGGGCCCCTGGGGAGTTGACGCCGCTCCCGGGGGGCTGCCAGGCTGGCCACTGCCCGGCGCAGAGGGCGCGGAGGTGAGTGGGTCGGGAAAGGGCGCGAGACCAGGCGGCGAAGGCGGCGTAGTTGAGGGTCAAGATGCAGGCGGCGCCACGCACGGCATGCATCCTCCCGGGACTCCGTGCCCTCTGCGGGCGTCCGCCCTGAGCTGGCGGGTTCCGGAGCTCCTGGCACCTTGAGGTGGGGAATGGCAAAGGTGGGGAAAGGTGTTGCTTCCACCGATTACCCGCCCACTCCTCTTGGTCTTCCCGGAGCTCCCAGATAATCCTGAGATTGGGCCCTGAAGAGTGGAGGCCAGGAGAGACCGCGTGTCCCAGGTATGATGTGCCCCACTATTACCTCCCGGATAGTCTACCTACCACTTTTAGGGTTGGTGCAGCGCGTTTCATGGAAGATCAGACAGTACTGGGAACAGGGAAGTATTTCTAGTACTCATTTTGTTTATTACCCAATGACGTGACCGTGGTGTGTTTAGGCCATTGTGTGTTAGAAGTAATTGGCCTCGTCATTGAATGTCCTAAATTACCTTTGAGCCCTGTCTTCAGCCTCAGCCAAAACTTGTTGAAAATTATGCCCTAAAAATCTTGCTCTTAAAATAGCGCAGAGAGAGACAGAGAATTTTTGTCGAGAGATTTCCATTTATTATCTTCCCCCACCTTTTGGAGAGGAATTGGTGTCAGTTTTTACTCCTCAGGCAGTTCGTTTTTTAGATGGAAAAACTTATTACAGGCCATGGTTAATTATCTCTCACAACTACGGATGAAATTGGGAGAAACGGAATTGGAGCTCCCCCGCCCTCATGACTTTGATTTGATTATAGTCCAGTTAACAGCCCCACTACTGGGAACCTATTGAGTTCTCTTTCCAAACCACTTACCCCATCCCACCCCACACACACTTATTCCACCTTTATTATTTCATTGTGTTGATCTCCTCCGTTTATTTTCTTTTTCCTCTAAGACTATATATATTTTTAACTCTGTCTCCTTCTGTTGTTTCATGGCTTAAAAGCTATTTACAGAAGAAAAATATCCATTCTAGATACTTTGCAGAGTATTTAGAAACAATGTGCAGTTTCTTTCTCTTAGCTAGTCAGTCTTTTTTTTGGGGGGGGGGGCGGGGGTGAGGGAATGAAACAGTATCAATAATAATCAGTTGAGCTAATTGTGCAGAAAAGAAATGAAAAGCTGTATCCAAGTCACTTTTTATTGCACTGGTGACATGAAAAATGTACTTTTAGCGAATGAGCATAATTACATTTTAATACTGAAAAAGCACAGATGAAGGCAAACAAATGTTTAAAGAAAGGATTGTAAATGATTTAGAAAGGTGAGAAAGAAGGCACACCAACAGTTTGAAAGACTAGGACTGCAGGATACAATCAGGACTTCAGGAAATGCATTTATTCTGTGCTCAGCCAGTAACCACAACATTAACAGAACTATGACATTGACATATGATTTATCCGCCTTTGGGTCCACATGTCTTGATCAGCAAAAAAAAAAAGGTATCTAACCTAGAGTCCTATTAGATCTTTTTTGGTCCTGACATTTTTTGATGCATTCAACAACAAAGAATATGTATTGCATTCTTATTTACTATGTGGAGGCAGCGCTGGACAAGACAAACCTGGTTCTGCCCTTAGGAGCTTTTTGCCTGGTGGAGGAAACAGTACCGAGTAAAGAAACAATCACATAAGATAATTACAAAGGAAACTTAACAAGGCCTGAAAGGAAATCGGGAACAAAACTGGAGTGAGTCATTCTACTGAAGAGACATAACAGCACATGCAAAATTCCCAAGATGGGAAAGAGATTGGCCTTTTCTAAAAGATGCTGTGGCTGGATCGTAGAGAGTAACAGTCATACAGGACGAAATTGGAGAGTTGTACAAGGGCAGCAAGCTTATTCAGGGCCTTTTAGGTCATGGTTAGGAAGGTGGTGGTTGTAGTTCTAAGTACCACAGGAAGCCGCTGAGTTTTAAGCAGGGGATAGGTATCATCTGATTTGTGTTAGCTCATCATTAAGACGATCTTAGCTGCTGTGTGGAAAATGATTTGGAAAGTGGCAAAGGAGAAAGTAGATGGAAAATGTTTGCAGAGTTTAGGTGAGAGATGATAGAGACCTGGGTTAAGCTGGTGTCAGTGGAGAGGGATTTAAGAAATACTTTGTAGAACAGGAGTTGGTATTGGATTTTATGTCAAGGGTGAGGGAAAGCAAGGACTCGAGAATGAATCCCAGATTTTTAACTTGAGCAGCTGGTGGGTAATGGTACCATTTACTGAGGTGAGGAAACCTGGATGAATGGGAACAGGTCTGGGTGGAAAAAAGAGTTCTATGTTGAACCTGTTAAGTTTGAGATGTCTCTGAGGAGAACATAACCACCGCCCCTTTGGAGAAGAAAGAGGGTGGTCTCCAGGATAGAAGTGGACAGACTGATAGGTGAAGCTGGTGATCATGAATTTAAGGTGAAGCTAATGAGCTCAGTTGTCTGATTTTCTTCGGCAACCTTCACGAACTTGGATACAGAAAATGGATACCCAGGTATCCTTTCTTCCAGGCCTAGAGTTTTGTCAAGTGGATGTGAAAGAGAGCAAGAGAGCTGTCCTAGTTTGTTCAGACTGCTATAGTAGAATACCATAAATTGGTTGGCTTAAACAACAAACATTTCTTTCTTACAGTTCTGGAGGCTGGGAAGTTAAACATCAAGGCACTGGCAGATTCAGTGTCTTGTGGGGCCCACTTCCTGGTTAATAGACTGTCATCTCCTTGTGTCCTCACATGGCAGAAGGATAGGGAGAGCTCTCCAAGGTCTATTTTATAAAGACACTAATCCCACGCATCAGGGTTCTACCTTCATGACCTAATCTCCCAAAGTCCACACCTCCTCGTCCTTCACATTGGAAGTAGGATTTCAACATGAACTGGGGGCTGCGGGGTGGGGACACAAACATTTAGTCTATAACAAGAGTCAGTCTTTTTAAGCAAGTGACAATAGAGATACACCATGGAACCCAGAATAGGTAAAGAGAAACCAATAGGAAATCAATGGAGAGTGAGAAAATCGTGAGTCAATGAGTCCGATGTCTTCTGTCTAGAATTATCAGTGTGAATATTTGACTAAGCTTATTGGAAGATTAGGAGATAGTGTTTGAAGATGTCAGAAAGTGAGTGACTGAGGTGAGATGGAGGCAGAGATTCATTGCCTTTGGTGAAGAAGTGAAGGAAACAAGAGGCCATGAGGTTGAATGGTTCATCCACTTGGATGATGTATTACTGGAGAAGGATGACAGCGGTTGGGCTAGGGAGGAAGACTAGATATATATTGGGGACCCAAGTCACCAGAGATAAAGAATAAACTAAAAGTCAGTAGATGACAGCAGTGAGTATGGGGGAAAGGTATGATGAGGTGCCATGAGCCTCAAAGGAACTGGGTGTTTGTAGGAGAGAAGAAAAAAGTTTCAGATGTGGCCTTGCAAAGTCAAAAATCCCCTAACCCCGTCTCATGGCCATGGAGGATTACATTTTCTTAATAACATAGGAGTATGTAAATCAGCAGGTTTTGAATGTATCAAGATCTCTGAGGACAGCCCTTTCAGAGTTACTATCATCCAATAATTAATGCCCTAGATGTTTATATGTGAAACAAATTAGATTCTCTTTTTATAAATTAACATAGGATGACAGCTACCATTCGGCCAGAGGAATGTCAAAAAACCCTTCCAAACTGAAAATCTTAGGAGGCTATGTAGCTGAATGTAATCAAATTGTCTTACCTTGTTAATAGTATACTTCAAGTATTAAATGCATATAGCAAATCAAATGTCGGTTCAAGAAAACTGTGACCTTGATATTTTAAGGAGCCCTTGTGCTACTTAAATCACACTTTTAGATTGAGCTCATAAAGTTGAAGTGTCACAGTGTTAAATATAAGACAGTGATATTACCATTATTATATAACTTTAAGACTTGGAAATAAAATAATTTTAGTGTTGGGAAAGACCGCAGGAGCCAAGTACAGCCTCTTTGTTTTCCATTTAACTAATGAAACGGACTCAGAAAACAAGTTGATTTCAGAAGCCTTGGCCTGTTCTTTAATCTCAACACCACTTAAACAAAACTTTCTATCAGTGCCACAGTGTTCTCAGTTATTTAGTCTGTATGACCTGTAAATAACATCAAATGAAAAAGGAGAGGGACTTTAGGGCCTTGCTAGTCAAAGTGTGGCCCATGACCGGGACCACAGGCATCTCCTGGGAGCTAGGGGGACATGCAGAATCTCAATGGAGCCTCACTCCATCCAGACCTAGAGAATCACAATGTGCACTTTAACAAGATCCCCGGGTGATGTTATTCACATTAAAGCTCAATAGGCACTATTCTAGGACAAGTCAGTCCACTTGGAAACTCATCTACTCATGTCAGCAGAACCTGTGATGCCTGGAGAACTGAGGGGAGGAGCCTCTTGTCACACAGAAGAAAGAGAGACCATCACTGGAACATTCTGAATTTTGAATGTTAAGGAAACAACAGGAAGAGAGCATGCCGTGCTGTGGGATGACACCTTTTAAGGAATGGCACTGCCCTTCCAAAAAAGGAAGAGAGGAAATTGCAAAATAGTGAGTGGCCCTTCTGATATTCTTCCTGCCTGAGTGGGAAAGGGGAAAGGACTGCCTGCAAATTCTTCCACTTCCTGCATTCAAATGCAACTTGTTATTCCCTCACTAGTGTTGTTTTTTCATTATTACAAACAACAGTGTAAACATGAGCATAACTGAGAATCAAAAAGCCACATCTATAATCTCCAAATACCAAAATAAGCATTAGGTTGAATCCTGAATCTTTTAGTAGATATGTTTTCAATCTTGGCTGCATGTGAAAACGCCAGATGATCTCTGAAAAGAAATCCTGATGCCCAGGCTGAACCCCAGACCATTACATAAAAATCTGGGTGGTGGGGTGGTGGTGATTAGGTATCACTGTGTTTTAAAGCTCCTCTGGTCAGTCTGGTGTGCAGCTCGAGTTGAGAACCACTCTTGTTAGTAGGTCTTTCCCCCTTGTGGGAAGAGGCAGCTCTGAGATTGCAGTTCTGCCTCTCCACTTAGCCAAAACGGTGGGACCCTCTATTCTTTCCACAGCACCAAGCAGAGTCAGCACACCTGGGGTCACACTCTGCTGTGAGTATGAAAACCAGTGAGGCTGTCAGAACATTGAGGGAGGCAGAATTTTTTTAAAAAAGAGGCGCTCTTGTCCAATTTTGTTAAAATTTGAGTAATAACAGTTACTGCTGATGGAAATGTTCTAAAATTGGATTGTGGTGATGGTTGCGTAACTGTAAAGTTTTTTACTGAAAAGTGTTAATTTATACACTTACAGTGGGTAAATGTTATGATGTGTAAATTACATCTCAATAAAGCTTTTTTTTTTAGCTGCTGTGTATGCTTCAACATTCATGATTTTATCATACTGATTAGATAGCCAGGAAACCAGTACGTGCTTTGTGTCTTCAGAGTGTCAGCACCTAGCCAAACGCCTGGTGGACAGGGCTCAATAAGATATTGGATGGGTGAATGGCTAGGAGTGGATGGGGGATAGATGGATGATTATCATTATGATCTTGGGTTGCGGGCTGATTTCTAAATTGATGTCAATCACCAGGGATCCCTAAAATTCATAGCACCCAGTGGGCATTGGTGCCATGTGTAACCTGTTTTATGGTATGGCATTGAATTCAGGGAAATGGGTTTGTGTAGAAGCTAGAATGTCAGGCCTTTCACAGAAGATTAGTTATTTATTAGTGAGTTACACAACACAGAAACAGTTGTATTTGCTAGCCAGTAAACATAGGTATCCTTATCCCAAAGCACCATCTGAAGCAAGGTTATCAGATGGGAAAATTATTTCAGCCATGCTGTGACCCGCTACTGCTAGCTTCATTTTAGACATACCCGTTGGTCATCAAGTTAACTTGCATTGTTATAAAGCCCAGATATGCACAGGGCACGTGGCTACACTGGTGAGGTAGATGGGGGGACGCATATAGAATTCTCCTCTGTCCGATACTTAGAAGAAAAATGGGTGGGGAACTATTCGGAGGTTGTTGCTTTAATTTATTGACGAGGATTCTAAAATTTTGTTACCTGAAGTCCTTGGGAAGTGAATTTTTGAAACTGAATTTGTAAACTAACCTGCATTTAACCAGAAAGCTTTTTTTGTTGAAAATCTTCCTGTCATGAATTAGACTCTTTCCTGCCCTAATAGTGCAATGGAATAAATATGTGAAGTTTTGTTTTGGTGAGTTAGGGTCTAGAAATCATACCCATGTAAACATATGTATTGACTACATACTGAGCCTAGGAAATATCTTGGAAATGACTGGTTATTTTGAATTTGTCTCATTAAAATTCTGGTTGCAGAGTCTGGGAGGCTTAGAATTAGTGAAGCTTTAGCTATAAAGCTATTACATTTCTTTTCTTTGGTTGGTTCTATAAAACATGAATACCAAAAGACACTCATATCTGAGTATGAAATATTAATAAATCATTTACAATTGCAATAGTTTATAAACAGAATTTCAAAGAATAAATCTACATAGTTTTAATAAAATTACTATTTCATGATTTTTGGAAAAGGATTTTTAAATGAGGATGTATACCAAATTACCCAAGAGTTTCAGCTACGGGAAAGAATTTAATAACCTAACTTAAGTGGATTTTAATATTCAAACAAACAGCAAATAGTAGTTGGATTAGGGCAGTTATTCTCAAACATTTAACATGCTTGAACAAACTTTACAATCTTTAAACAGTTTTAAGATTCCCCATATAATGTTTACACTGCTGTTTTAGAATGAGCAGCGGTGGGAAGACTCACATTTGAATCCTGGTTGAGTCACTACAAACTGCATTGTCTTAAGCAAATTGCTAAATTTGCTCTGAGCCTGTTTCCTCATCTTTAAGATGGGCATGAGATATACTCCACAGCCATTTGAGAATTAAATAAGATAGTACTATACATGAAAGCTCTATGAACTATGAAGTAGCAACAAGCATATCATAGTATTACGTGCTTTCAACAAGACACAAATAAGCCATCAGATCCTTTAAAGTTTCCTTTTTCTCTCTCTTATGGATGCTTTTACATTCCTTAAAACTTTAATGAAAAGAGCCTCAGTTATTAGGCCCACTTTTATTTGTAGCCACAGTCACAATATCAAAGGGTTCAGTTAGAACTTGCCATTAGAAGTATAATGTGAATAAGGCCCAAACTTGTTAGAACAGAGTCACCCATAAATATGTATAAAACACATGGTGTAAGGAGGGGCCCATAGGGGACGTTACTAGATAGATCCCAATGTATTTTTACCTGTTCACATTCTGATTTACTGAAGGGGTTTGAACTTGCTTTGTAAAATAAGCAGATAACTGTTATTGCTTTGCTTTTGTTTCATCTTTAGTTCGAAAAGGCCTAGATCATCATGATTTCTTAGATTTAAAGATTTTTTTGCAATTCCTATATTTGGGGGAGATGCTACAGTCTCTACTCAGAGGAACTCAGGACTGGGATACAGGACACTTGGGTTCCTGTGTGTGCATGTACTAACCCTTTCACCCTTACATAACATATACGATTAGGGGTAAGTTAATCAGTTCACCTGAATTGTCATCAAAGGAAATGAGCGATTTAATTACTCCTGGTTCCTTTAGCTGCTCCTAAATCCCAAGATAGCCCACGATTTCTCCAAGAGGATGTTGACAGTTTGGTACCGTGGTGCCTCTGACCCCCTCCTGGCCTCCTGGGTGCCTAAAATCACTCAAGGAAAAGCAGATAATTACCATCCCTTCTATCCTGAAAATGTGAAATGAAGCATGCGTAATAGAATAAAAAATAGTGAGTTTTCTCCTTCCCCAGGATCTGAGTTAGACACTGTGATCACCAGGTAATGCTGAGAAGCAGGGACTCTGCCAGAGAAGGAGAATATACTCATGAGCACAGCTATTATTACCCTTTCCCGTTCCCCCTCCCATACCCAAAGAAAAAGCCGTTTCTTAAATTCCTTACGTGCACCCAAATGACACGTGCCTTAGCTGGACTGCCTGGATTCTAAATCCTGGCTTCCTCTCTTTCTCTGTTATGACCTTGGACAAATTAATTCATCTTCACAATGGGCAATATCAGCACCTATCTCACAGGGTGGTTGTGGGGATTCCATCAGTTATATATAAAGCACCCACAAAGCGAGCATGAGAATGCGCTACAATGGGTATTAGGTAATATTTTACAGTCTTTCCTAAAGATTAATTTACTGATTTTTTTGGAGTCATTGAATGTGATCCATTTCTAGGATAAAAAAAATTGAATTTTCCTGGCTCCGGTAATTTCAACTTCCATTTAGTAAAAACCCCAAAAGCATGTTTTTGAAACATCCGACCTGTTCCTGTAAAATCCATTAAATCCTCTGAAGTGATCCACATCTGGTGTTAGCATGAAAGAAATTGTGCAGTGGGGAGGGAATGGGAGAGTATTTTTCATTCAGACCCAGTAGAGACACCGATTCATGGCACTCTGACTGGTATTCTTGAGCAAGTTATTACAAACATTTTAGATATTAGTCACTTAAATAAAAAAGAATTTGACAAAATTTTCCGAAAAGAATAATTACATCATATTCTATTCCACCAACAAATAAGAGGAGAAAAAGATTTCAGAAATATTGTGTCATAGAAGGCCATACAACATATTACTAACACCCTTTTCACAGAGAAGCTATATTGCTCAATGATAAGTTATAGGATGTAGGGTGAATAATAGAAGCCAATGATATTTAATTAATCTTTTGTTATATTTTGATGCCTATTTTTCTTGAGATATTAAGTGCCAAGGTTCATTTTTTGGTAGTTGATTTATCTTACTCTCATTTAATAACAAAGTCACTCACTAGAGGATAGTTTGTTTGTATACTCCACCCCCAAATAACTCTAGACAGTTTGAATTTAAGTAGCTCTTTGTGTTTTATGGTTTTTGTGTCTTCTGTTGTCCTGTGTGTGATCACGTCCTATCACAGTCCTTTCCTACCTGTAGCAGCATTTTTTATTTGCTGCCTGTATCTGCTGAGAAACTGGGTAATCAGACTTGTTAGAACTGTGTTTTTTAAAAAGTCCTCAGTGAAAACATCAGTCTCTTCGTTTCATGCTCTACTACCTTGCTGTTCAAAGCGGGTCCACAGACCAGCCCCATCACCTTATTAGAAATGCAGAATCTTGGGCCTCTCGCCAGAAATACCGAGGCAGAATCTGCGTTTTAACAAGATTCGCAGGTGATTCGTGTGCACGTGAAAATTTGAGAAGCCCCACTTTTGCTTGTCAACTTTGTGACAGTTCATTTTTCTATTTTGAGATCCTGTTTTAGCCTACAGATTGTGTCTGGCTATGTTCTAGGTTATATAGCTGGTCAAAATATTTTACCTCTAGAAACGAGGGACATTGTTGTGATGTCTAGAAGTATATTAATGTTTGGAAATAGGTAACAGATGACATTTTATTTTCTCTCCCCTAGGATATCCCTGGTGATCTTGGAAGAGTCTACATCATGGAATCCATCTCTATGATGGGGAGCCCTAAGAACCTTAGCGAAACTTTTCTGCCTAATGGCATAAATGGTATCAAAGATGCAAGGAAGGTCACTGTTGGTGTAATTGGAAGTGGGGATTTTGCCAAATCTCTGACCATTCGACTTATTAGATGTGGCTATCATGTGGTCATAGGAAGCAGAAATCCTAAGTTTGCTTCCGAATTTTTTCCCCACGTGGTGGATGTCACTCACCATGAAGATGCGCTGACAAAAACAAATATAATATTTGTTGCTATACATAGAGAACATTACACCTCCCTCTGGGACCTTAGACATCTGCTGGTGGGTAAGGTCCTGATTGATGTGAGCAATAACATGAGGATAAACCAATACCCAGAATCCAATGCTGAATATTTGGCTTCCTTATTCCCGGATTCCCTGATTGTCAAAGGATTTAATGTTGTCTCAGCTTGGGCACTTCAGTTAGGACCTAAGGATGCTAGCCGGCAGGTGCGTATTTTTAAATTTTATTCTTATTTATTTTTGTATTTAAGTAGTTAAACAAATATTATACATTTAAAAACCAAATTCTTATACACACATACACACACACACATGCACACACACACACACACACACACACACACACAATGATTATCATTTTGAAGAGTATGTGTGAACACTTGAAAGTTAAGGGCACTTTTTTCTATTCTCCAAATAATGTGGAAAGCTGAGAAAATAAGTTGGACTTTCCAGTCATAACCTGCTAATTCAAGAAAAGGCAGGTTAGCTGATGAATAATGGGACACAGGGCACTGTGTCTCTCCTTGCTTCCTCAAAAATAGAAACAATAGCAAACATGTCTTTTTTCTTTTCCTCTTTCCCTCCCAACCTTTCTTCCTTCTTCCCTCTTTTTCATCTTCTTTCTTCCTTCCTTGCAGTTATTTGGTAACACAGTACTCCATCTCTGCATGAAACACTATTTAGTCTGACCCTCAAGAAGAATGCTTTAGAAGTGCCTTTTTATTTTACATAGAGTATTCATAGAATTTAAAATAGTACAGTTTGGTTTGTTTTAAGTGCAGATTTTAATCTGTGCGGGGAGGGTAGAGGCAGATTGGATTTCTTAGGTTCTCTTTTAGTTTAAGGGTTCTGTCTAGTTCAACGTGAGAATAAAGCAGATGGGGAGCTCCATTAAAGCCTTTGTGGAATGAGAAATTTTATAGGTCAACATACAGAATAGCGCACCTTAAAAATCTAAGGTGTGGTTATGCGTTATTATTAAGCATGACGCTAAAATCGTTTTATTATTTTTGCCCATAAAGAAAGGTGATTAGATGCCTTAGAAAACAAATTCAAGTGTTATATCATTGTACGTAGCATATCAGAGTCACAATAACCATCTACTTTCAAGCCGTTAATTTGGAAGACTAGTAAAAGAATATATACTTTCCAACTTTCCTAGAGGCTATTTCTGAATCCTTTTTTTAAAAATGCCTTTTGCATAGCCACTAAAGTTTAGTGATGGATATAGACCAAACAAATTCAGGATAAACCTGAATTTAATCCTTTGCATATATCTGTGATAATTTTAATTGTTTAACAACAGCAACAAATTTGTGGAACAGTGATTAAATTCAAAGTAAGCTACAGAAATACCTTCATTTGTGTATCATAATGCTCATGTCCTTATTATGAATGTTTGCTTTCTACTTTTAGGTGTATTACACAATTTTATTTATACTTTATAGGGTTTTTCCCCAATGGAAAAAAAAAAGAGTTTATGTCACCATTGTTACATCTGTAATAAATTAATTTAGAATACTTTTCCTTATTTCTTTGGTATACAGGTATTCTTCCCCACCCCATTTTAAAAGTTCATGAACATTTGTAAAACTGTATAAACTTTGTCATTCATCTGGCCAATATTAGATAAAATTAATCATCCAAGGGCCGGCCGAGTGGCTCAGTTGGTTAAGAGCTCGCTCAAGAGTTTGAGCTCTGAGCAACAGCGGTTCGAGTCCAGCCCGAGCTGAGCAGCCGCTGAGCTGCCAATAGGTAGCAGGATGGCTCAGCTAAAAAAAAAAAAAAAATTAATCATCCAAAAAGCTTTACATTGTCAGCATAATGTAAACAGGTTTAACATGCAAATATTTTCAGGGTGTAGTGTTCCATAGCCCTTATATAAACATCTTTAGGGATATATTCAGGAATTTGTTTTCCCCAAACAACACTCAGAAACTTTATAGCAATATTTTTCTAGCCCTGAGTGAGATGACCTGCCCATAAGTAACAGTGACTTGCTCCAGCAATAAATCTGGTGCTCAACAAATATTTGTTGAATTCTCAACTGCAGTACTATATCTAAGGTTTTGGTAGCTTGAAAGCCACTCTCACCCCCACCTATCAGGTTATTAGAGTTTCCTTTAGAGCTAACACCTTAGTCTTAGAAAATGGTAGTTGATTTATTTTTTTTTAATTAACTGAGCCTTATAATACCATTTTCCCCTCTCTAGGTATATTATCATCATTTAAAGATGAAAGCATCTCATATTCTGACCAATGAGATAAACCAATGAGATACTTGAGATAATCAAATGGGTGAATTGGTTTCTAAGCCGAAAGATAAATTTTACAAATAGTACAGCATTATCACATAATTTAAAGGTTTTTTTTATTGCAAATCCAGTCATCCAGAATCCAAGCCCACCTTCTCTCTTGCTGAATATCCATCCATAAGGGCAGTGCTTGCAATCACTCTACTAGGCAGAATCACTACAGTTCCAAAACTGAATATTGTCCAGGACAGCCTGAACACCAGCTCAACCCTGTTCCCTGAGGGAGAGAGAGCTGGAGTGGGGAGAGGCATGGCCTACAGCGCAAACTCCACCAAGCCCCCCAGTGAAGGGGAGACCTTAAATTGCAAGTGCCACTGAACCACGAGATCTAGAAACCTTTCCTCCCTCCTTCCTTCCCCTGAGGACTCCCCAATCCCAGGTTCTAGTAGATTCCTCTGCATTTTATTTTCATGTCATCACAGGTAGCAAGCGCTTTGTTTTCTATGACACTATTTTAATCTATTAATAAATTAAAAATGCTTTACCTCTTTAGCTTTTTGCATCACTCAGCGTCACCACAAGTGATGCTCCCTAGATTAAGTGGAGCATGGGATCATCACCATTTTTATAAACCATAGTAATGATGCGTCTTTTGTTTTTGCTGCAGGTTTATATCTGCAGCAACAATATTCAAGCTCGACAACAGGTTATTGAACTTGCCCGGCAGTTGAATTTCATTCCCGTTGACTTGGGATCATTGTCATCAGCCAGGGAGATCGAAAATTTACCCCTGCGACTGTTCACTCTCTGGAGAGGGCCAGTGGTGGTAGCCATAAGCCTGGCCACGTTTTTCTTTCTTTATTCCTTTGTCAGAGACGTGCTACATCCATATGCTAGGAACCAGCAGAGTGACTTTTACAAGATTCCTATTGAGATTGTGAATAAAACCTTGCCCATAGTTGCCATTACTTTGTTGTCCCTGGTATACCTGGCAGGTCTCCTGGCAGCTGCTTATCAACTTTATTACGGCACCAAGTATAGGAGATTTCCACCTTGGCTGGAGACCTGGCTACAGTGTAGAAAACAACTTGGATTGCTAAGTTTTTTCTTCGCTTCGGTGCATGTTGCCTACAGCCTCTGCTTACCCATGAGAAGGTCAGAGAGATACTTGTTTCTCAACATGGCTTATCAGCAGGTATGAAACGTGCTTGTTATTTATCTGATGCTTGATATAATTTGTAAAACATAAGATTAAAAACAAGGTATATCTTTGCATACCTTGTAATAGAAATTCTGGTATATTTAGGGCAGGGAAAGTATTCTTTAAACAATGTGTAGGCATAAGAATTATGTGGCTAATTCAAAATCATTTAGGTTAAAACCTGCAACCATCCATTTCTTTGCAGAATAAAAGCAGAGGAATAAAGTGTTGGGTTTTTTTTTTTAATGTTAGGATTGCAATGATTGCGTTCAGTACTGAACAGTTCACTATTTTAATGTTTTGCAGTTGGCTGTGTTCCACAACAACATGAAGGCAATTCTTAGTAAATGTATACAATACAATTAGAACCAGTGAAAATATAAAACAGAATAGGAAGTCAAGATCAATAGACATACTCTTTTTTTGTTATCACAAAGCAGTAAACATACTAGTTCCTCAGGTGAAGCTTTTCTAGCACTTAACTCAAGAAAATCTCAAGGAAAGCTTCATGAAAGGAGCTTGATGGTGGAGTATGCTATGATTTTCTCAGTAATTCCCATTCAGCAAATGTAACTTGAAGGGTATTCTTGAAACTCTTTGAAGTAGCATTTCTCTGTGAAAGCCAAGGACCCTGCACCAAAACTAACGTGAAAAGGCTTTTCCTTTTCATAAGGAACCAAAGCATCATGGTCCCAGTATGTAGCACCTAGTACTTATGCCTGTTTCAACAATTTCAACCTAAAATAATGAGGGGGGAAAAAAATTTAATACATTAATGTTTTTTTTAAGCCATTCTTTCCCTCAAAATACCACTTCTCTTAACTGAATACAAAGGCTTTGATATCTGCTCAACCAGCTTCCTCCCTCCTTCAAGTCACTTGCTCAGAAATTACCTCCTCAGTAAGGCCTGCGTTGGACACCATTTTACATTCTGCTCTCTGCTTCCTATTCAACCCTGGTACTCCCAGACCCTCTTATATACTTAAATAGCAATTTACCATCTTCTAACATCCTTTATGTTTTCCTTGTTTATTATAGTTACTATTGTCTGCCTTCTCTCATCAGAGTGTAATGTTGAATGAACTCAAAAAGAGTCTGGAGGCTTTGCTAGAAATAAATGATAGAGATTGATTCAAGGGCCTTGGAGGCTGCAAACTGGGAACACAGCTAGATAAAAAGCCAGAAGTGTTCCAAAGAAGAAAGAAAAGTTCAAAGTTCTTATGATAAAAAGTCCAATCTTGAGAATTATCAGTCCTGCATTTCTAGTCCTAGGATTGGTCCAGGTTGGTTATTAGTCAGATGTCAGGCGATCAGGATGATGGATACCAGGTGGACTGGAAGATGGGTGCTAGGAGGCCTGGTCAGGTCCCAGGGGTCTCGATAATAGTTATCAGGTGGATGTATACATGAGTCCTTCAGGGGTAATAAGGTGGTGTGGATAAGTGAGTCCCCCAGGAGAGAATTAGAGGGTTACCGGGAGGTCCAATTTTGTATCCAGGCATTGACGCAGGTCTGGAAAGGTCAAACAAGTTTAAGTTCCCAGGCTAGTTAGAAAAACAATGGAGTCTTTCCTCATGCCTCACCTTCATAATGTTAATAATTTTAGCAGCTTGGTTAAAATGACGCCATTTTATACCCTATTTTCATTCTTTCCTCAGTAAGTTTATGAAAGGAAGGATCTTTGTCCATTTTGTTCACTGATATATGCCCAATGCCTAGAACTGTGCCTGGCACATAGTAGACACTCAGGAAGCATGTTTGTAGAATGAAGGAATGAACTGGGAGGGCAGGTAGATCCAGGTTGTAACTTCTGGGTATACCGAGGCAAGATTGTACAGACATCAAACGAGATAGGAAGACCTTTCCCACACAGGAACTTTCTGGCTTTTTCCAGTATGTTGGTGTGATTGCTCCAGGGACCTACTGGCTAAGAACTAGCTTTTATTTGTTTTAACTTGAAGTGTGTTTGGTTAACTGAAACTGGACACAGTTAAGCTGGTGTGACATTAGAATCTGTTTACCATGAATAGACACTTATTTAAATCAAAGCTTTAGCTCAAGAGTCCAACTGTTGACTTACACCCTGATTATATTATGTGCCTCTGAAAATAGTCCCTGTGTAGAATACCACACGCCCAGCATTAATCAAGTCTGACTTGATTATATATGAATTATCAATGGGAGGGAAAGATACTTGGAAAAGTACTGTGTAGGAATGAGGCATTGGACAGTTGGAAAAGCATATGAAATAATGAGACAATTCAAGTGGATAAATATTTGCACTCAGTAGGGCTTTATCCTCAGGGAAATCTCAGGTTTCTGGGGAAAAGACAGTAAAAAGAAAGACAGAAATCACCATACGAAACTTCACCTGAGAGAGGAATATACAGAAGTAGTTTAGAAATTCTCTTCCTAGATTTTTGGTTGAATGAAGGCCAGAATGTACCCAAAATATTCAACGAAGTTTAAACCAACTTGTAAAAGTACCTCAAAACTAAGTCTAACTGCCTGTACTTCTTTTGTGTCACCCTGGAACCAGTGACTTATCATCATTTCATGGTCTTAGGATTCCAGAGTCCCTGGAACCATGATCTGTTAGAAACGTGATGACCAGTTTACCCACTCTTCTCACATGTATGCAAAGAAGAAGAGAGCCTTAGTCCTCTTTTTGTTTAGCTCTCCCCTCTTTCCCCCACACCTGGAACAATGCCATCCAGCAGTGGGTTCTCCATATAGTTTGTTAAATTTAATTAATACTACTTAAATATGTCCATATGTGGCATATCTTTATGCCAAGAGTGAACTGTCTGCTGAATTACTTAAAGTTCTACCAAATAAAGGAAATTCTCTTGTTAGGTTCATGCAAACATTGAGAACTCTTGGAATGAAGAAGAAGTTTGGAGAATTGAAATGTATATCTCCTTCGGTATCATGAGTCTTGGCTTACTTTCCCTCCTGGCAGTCACCTCCATCCCTTCGGTGAGCAATGCTTTAAACTGGAGGGAATTCAGCTTTATTCAGGTATGTGGAGTTTTGTTTGGTGAAGGAATGGGCTGCATAGACGTTAAGTGTTAAGATTGGAATTTTAAATATGCTTCTTATTAAAAGGAGTGCCTTTGGGGGGTGCATTTATGCATTGAGCTTGGAGAACACATATCCTTGGAGGCTAGTTTAGGACCATGCTGGTTTAATAAGTAAAAGACTAGTTACAGGATTCTACTGGAAGGCTTTGATAGTATTGCCCACCGTGCTATCGATAAAGGTTTTTTAAAAAGAAAATAAATGAAAGTGGGGATAAGTGAGCTTAGATCAAGTTTAATGCCAAAAGTCAATGTATTGTTAGCCCAATAAATGAAGAATTATTTTATATTTTGAGTCATCTTGATCTGTCCAGAAAAACTCATTAATTTGAATTCAAGTGGAAAGAAGGTCATTCTGAATATTATAAAAGAAATAACACAAGCAGTGGAAAACTAGGTAACTAGGTTAATGGATTATGACAAGCAACCAGCCTTATGAATCTTGTTAGTATGTAAGTTATATACATATGTGCATGCGTGTCAATAAAAGGGTTTCAAAACACCATTTTTCTTGAATAAGTTAAATATTTACCTCCAGTAATCATTATTTAACAAATTTGCACATTAAAAAAATATATAACTCAAACTTAGACCCTACCTATATTATCACAAAATTAGTATTGGTTGTACCAAGTGGTTTACAGCACAATGTGCGGACGAGTATATTTGGTGACATACTCAATTTGGGGGTTTTTCTCTGTTTGCTTGAGCCTGTTGTTTTAAGTCATCTAAAAATCTCATTCAAATTAAGGGTAGGTCCCTTGTCTAAATTCACTTTTCCTTTTTGAAGGAAAGAAAGTGTAAATACTTTCCCAACTACTAGTTTGATCACACCTGAAAAGAAATAGAAGATTATCTGACAAAAGGTGCTAGATGGTGCAAATTATCATTATAAATTTAGATGAGTAATTGCCAAGAACAATTTTCTGTTAGAGAGTTGATCCTTTCCCAGTGAAGTTAGACGTTACATCATTATACAGATATAATACTGCGTTTTATGTAACAGACCATTTCTCAAAGTAAGCAGTTGAACATAATAATTTAGGGCACCCAGATGCTGACCTGTTAGATTTTAATATATAAATTGCTTAACTGAAATGCTCTTAATAACCTCATTTAATATGATGAATTAAGCCACATGCTTGAAATGCTATTTATATTATATATTAACATATAAGATTTTGTATATTTACCTTTCAGTATGTGTGTGTATGTATGTACGTATGTATATAAACACTTGTGAGAATGTTCCTCAGGATTTAATTTTATTATAAATGTGTGTATACATATATATGTATGTACATATGTATACAGACACACACTTTTTTTAATGTGCACAGCTGGCAGAAATGTGGATAACCTTTATAAAGAAGCTTAGCAGTTTTTAGCAGTTTTTATTAACACACTTAAGGAAAAGCCAGATGTTTTGACCAGCAATCTCACTATTAGAAATCAGTTCTAAGGAAATAAAATAAAGTATAGAAAGGGGCTTACCGTGACATTATTTATAGTTGAGGAAAACTGGAAACAGAGTAAACGATCAACAAAAAGAATGATTAAATAAATTATAGCACATCCAGTCAATGGGATATTATACAGCATTGAAGTCATGTTTTCACATTGAATGACATGAGGAAGAAGTTCTTGATGTAGTAAATGAAATAATTAGACTATTAAATGATATGCAGTGTGGGCCTTATTTGTGTAAAATAAAGTGTGCATATAAATATATATGAAAATGTTTAAATTGTTTAATTCAATAGAGAACAAAGAGTAGCTCGATCTGTTAAGATAAAATTGTTTTATCAAAACATAAGCTTGGTATAGCTGGAGGGGTTAATTTATGAGTCTGAATAATTTGTTTCTTGTTCTTTCTTTTTTCTTCCTCTCCTCCCCCAAGTCTACACTTGGCTATGTCGCGCTGCTCATAAGCACTTTTCATGTTTTAATTTATGGATGGAAACGAGCTTTTGAAGAAGAGTACTACAGGTTTTATACACCACCAAACTTCGTTCTTGCTCTTGTTTTGCCCTCAATTGTAATTCTGGGTAAGAGCGTTTTACTTCTTCCATGTATAAGCCGAAAGCTGAAAAGAATTAAAAAAGGCTGGGAAAAAAGCCAATTTCTAGAAGAAGGTATCGGAGGAGCAGTTCCTCACCTCTCACCAGAGAGGGTTACAGTGATGTGATGATAAGCGGTGCTTGCTGATGCCATATAAAGGTCTTACTCATGCCATTATCTTTGACCTCCTCTGTGTTCAGTTGCCAGTGCATTGTCACATTGCTGTGGGCTAAGCCCTGTTCAATGTGATCTCAGCCAAATTACTGGTAGAATTTTCTTCAAATTATTTCTCACAAATGTCCTATTTTGCCAATATGAATTTTTGTAGTGAACTTATTGTTGAAATTCGGGTATATGTTTTGTTTTGCACAACCGTTACTTTAACAAACTATATCACACAATCATGCAAAAATATTTATAGTTAATAATGTAGATACAGTAGAATGTTAAGAAAACTTTGCGAACCAGGAGAATTTTAAGTTTTCATGTAATTCAATAGATACTTTGTTTTTTTCCCCCTGAAGCTTAAGTAAGTATTGAATTGTTATCCAGCATAAGAAACAGAAATGCATAATCGTACCTTAGTTTTAAGAAAGGACGCATTACATGAGCATCTAGGTAAGGATGCATGGTAACATTCCTATATTTCTGTCATAAGATAGGATTTGAAGAATGTAATTAATTGTAAAAACCATTGTGATTATGTGAACAAACACAAATTAAAAAGACAAAGTGAACCTAAAATTGTATTTAAAATGCATGGAGACATGAAATACATACTGATAATGCATACCTCATGAAAGATTTTCTTCTCTATCTTATTACAGAGCAGTCCTATTTGTATATTCATATATTGTCAAGAAGAAGCCAGTACTACTTGGCCTCTGAAATTGATTTTTCTAATATAGGACCAATCCTGGGAATCTTATAATGGTTCCTGGTTAGAGGGAAAGTGTTAAGTTTACACACAGGTGGTTGTTTGTCCATTGATCTATGTTTGTTGCACCTTAGCCAGTCACCACTCTCTATGGTATAGGATTTTACAGAAGTTCATTGAGGGAATATAATATGCCAGGTTCTGTTCTCAGCACTTTACTTGTATTATCCCATTTAATCCTTAAAACAGCCCCATGACAGAGGTAGTAATTAAACTCATTTTACATGTGAGAAAAAAATCGAAGGATAGAAAAGTTAGGTAATTTGCCCAAGGTCATGGAGTTAGTAGGTGGCTTTCAAGTCCAGGCAGTCATATTCCAGAGGCTGTGGTTTTAACCACTCGCCTGTATGGCCACTGCTCCATTCCCATGTGTTACATTCATGTTGCCAATCTAGATGCTTCCTCTTTTGTGTAAAGGCATTAACATTCCTTAGAGTGAGTTGTGGCTACCAAAAGATATATGAAAATATTACAATCATATATTTATTATTCCTTGTGGGATAATCAACAGTTACTTACCCCAGGGGGGAGGGGATCTTACCTGGGACATGACCCTGGAGACCCCGTGGCAGTCCATACGCCTCTCTATGCATAAGGGACTCCAGCAGAGATAGGACCATAGCAGTTTTAATGAATGGCTGAGGTCCTGCAGAATCTTCAAAAGTCCCTGTAGAGCTGGTCATGTCCTTTTCTCCTCTTGAAAAGTCCCCCTGCCTGCTCAACCATTCATTAGGAGCAATTTGCAAGCAGGATGGATATTAGAGTAAGTGGTTAATTATAAATCTACTCTAGAGACATAATCACACAAATTATTCATACAATTTTTCAGTGCTGACACTCCACATTAAAATTGCATTTTATTCAAACTTTGGTTAGAATGCCCCACATATTTTCCATTTGCTCTTTTCTTATGAAACTAAAAAAATTACAGACAAGATACAATGATATGCATTCCTCTTCCTGAAATGCTAACATTTCTCAGCTTACCCACTGAGGCACTTGAATCAAGCTGCCAAAAATACAAGGACTTTTTCTTAGTGGAGGCTACTTTTCCCACCCATGGCTTTTCCCCTACCTTGGCATTATGTCACTTTGGTAAGTCACTTATGATTCTCTGCTGTTCTTTTCTTGGTGGATTTTAATATCTGCTACTTTTTAATTGTGCTAGCTCTCCATTTTCTTTCATTATATTCTTCCCCCCTTTATAACCACACTTACTTGTTAGTTCTTAGTAGGAATTCAGTTGGGTAGTAACTTTTAAAGGTAAACACCTATAACGTATTGTAGTGGACTAGTGAAATTAACAGCATATTTTCAATACTTTCTTATTCCTTAAGTTTCACTGTCTTAGGACCATAGGTTCACCATTTAACGTGAAAATACAATGAAATATTTTCAAGTTAGATCACTATTGAAGTATATTGTTGCACATATATATTAAGTAGTCAATAATATAAACAAAATTATCACTATAACAGATAAATGGGGCCTTTGAAAATATGAAAAAAAACAATGTTTATGAAAATATATATAAGGTGTAACTGTTGTTTCAAATGATATCTCCTTATGTCCTTTACAAAGATAAAATTAATTTTGAAGTTGTAGAATAAATGTAATATATTCATTGTAATTGTAAATGTTTAAGTCTTTCTAAAAAGGCAAACATATTGACTTAATTGCTCTATTTGACTTTTAATTGCTTTATTTTAATATTTCTACCTCATTATTTTTCTTCATCACTATTATTCATAATCATTTTCTTTTAAGTCATTACCCTGGCCTCAGAAGTAGGACTGAATTTTGTTCTTGCTAGATGTGAGAAAGTGGTGGGAGCTTTAAAATAACATGGATTTGTTTCCTAATCTGTATTTTGAGAAGTGCCCCTGAGACTATTATAAGAATGTAGAAAATATACACAGTCTTAAACCTATGCAAAAAAATCAAGTAATTTTTTCCTGAGAAGAAAATAATCATGGACTGACTCGTGCTGCTAAGCTTTTTTGTGTGCAGATTTCATGTCTCCTCTAGTAATAATTTTTAAAATCATGTTTAAATATAAATACATTCATGCTAACATATATTTTTCAAAGCATATATGGAAATTTAGCCAAGATTGCCTACATTTAGAGATTTTTATTTTAATTTTAAAATATTTTAAAGTATGAATAAATTATATTTATAGGTATTTATCAGAGATGATTATTTTGTGCTACATAAAGGATTGGCTAATTCACTCATGTTAAACTACCGGATTATTTTCTTATAAATTGGCATAAACCTGACTTGATTAAGGAATTTTACTTTTAAAATTAACTTGGTAACAGTGACGTAAGGTATATGTTCATAGTCAAATTATGAAAATTATGTGTGCAAAAGGGCTTCAAGAATATATCGTATTCCGTTTTTGTACTGTTTATCTCTTATGTAATATGATAAAAACCTTAATTCTTTTAAATTGCCTTTTATCATTAAACTATTTCATAAGAAATTCTGTATAGAGTTCCCCCCAAAAGAGATTTATTTGTGAAATTTAAGATTTCTTATGTATTTTAAATTAAGTACCATAAATGTAATTCATTAAGTATTTCTTTATGAAGAGCCTGTGTTAGTCTATAAAATCTGTTTGAAATAAGTATTTAAGCAGCCTAAATGGTTGTGTTGAAATTATTTTGTAAATTCATGACTTAAAGCAGTGTTACACATAGTGAAACACACCTTAGTCCAGTGTTAAGATTAGTATTTGTGATGGGTCGTGAAGAAAAGGAGATGTTCCACTCTCAGTTGTTCATAAGACAGCAAGTCAGTAAAACAAATAAATTCCAGTATGTATTCAGCATATGTAATTGTTCTAAATGGAACTGTAATAATTTTAGTGGAAACACAACCTGTTCTTACCTTTGAACAGTGGATTTTACAGGAATGAATAGGTTTTTCAATGTTTTAATGCAAGAAAATTATAAAGTGGTAATATTCAGAAATTCTGTCCATATAATCCCAAAAAAATGTTTACTTCAGCCTAACACAAGTACATACATACTGAAATCTTGAGCTTTCCAAATGATTGCATCTCCATCGCGCAGTCACCCAAAATTAGGGCCGACTATCTGGATACTTCCAGTGGCTAGATAGGCTAAATTAAATCACCAGACCAGGTGCTTTTGTCTGATTTCCAAAATGCCAACTTTTAGGAAGTATTCTCTTATGATTTTCTTTAATGGTCTTTCATAGCTTGTTAGATATCCAACCTGAACAGGGACTGTTCTTTGTTCTGCCCATCGAATTCCTTAGCTGCCCTTGCAGTTAGGTGTTACCATGTGACTGAGTGTTGACCAGTGAGATGCAAGGGGAACGTAGGAGTGACTTCTTGGAAGTCTCTTCAAAGGAAAGCAGCATGTGTTCTCTATCTTATTCCTCCACCTTGCTGCTGCAATTGTGGCTATAACAGCAGCCTTGAGGACCAAGGCCACACCCAAGGAAAGCATGTTAGAGACTAAAAAGATTTTGACTGCTTCACCGCTTGGACTGCCTTGACCTGTATTTAAGCCATTGTAACTTTGGGTTTCTTTATGTGAAGTCAAAATCAATCCATTCTGGCCTTCAGTTTTTTGTTATGATACCGTTTAGCACTGTTTGAATGAAGTAGACTGCAATAATTGTTACCTTTAAAAGTTGTGGCTCAACAGGGTCGCCGGTTCGATTCCCGGCCCGAGCTAAGCTGTTGGTGAGCTGCCAACAGGTGGCAGGATGGCTCAGCTAAAAAAAAAGAAAAAAACAGTTTTTAAAAAATATTCTGCACACATTACAATTGACTTTTCCATTGTTAATTAATCATACTCATTTTCTTGCCTTGATCTTTGATTAGATATTTTGTATCTGCTTAGAAAATACTATCTTCTTTATAACTGTATAATAGGTATTTGCTAAAACTCTGTAATCTCCAACATATTGCTATCAAATTACATGCCATGTTTTTATATCATTCTCATAGATCTGCCTTATAAACATCTAAATAAAAAGTACTATTTAATGCGTTTTAACTTCTTTTTTTGAAATGTTATATACAAGTGGAGTTTTCTTCTTTACTGAATAGTAATTCCAATAGTTAATGGAGGCCATGCAATGTTTTTCTGTTTCTTTTTAGAAGCATCCAAAAAGCAATACATGTAATAGTTTTGGGGGTTTGTGGGGGGGGGGGTTAGTTCGTTAGTTTTTGCCAAAGTAGTCATTTAGAAAAACATCCATCTAATGAGTTGGTATTCTTAAAATTATTTCATTTCAGTAGCATTCATTGAGTCTCTTTAAACAATATTCAAGCTATATTCTGTAAGCTCCCTGATAGCAGGAACTCTGTCTTATTCGCTACTATATTCCCAGTGCCAAGTGCAGTATGGTCCAACAGATACTAACAAGATATTGTAATGAATGTTGATTCATTTTTATCGAAAATTATGTTATTTATCCCCACATCCATTTGGCCACGCCTGCCATCCTTCTTCCCACACCCCTCCCTTCCCATCACTGCCTCCCCATCCACCTTGCCTCATGGCCAATAACCTGGAGCCGCCCTGGAGTCACTGCTATTGCTGCACTGCCACCATCACCACCACTGCCACACTGCTGTATTGAGGAAGAGAACCAAGCTTGAGGCCTATGGATTGTCTGTGGAGGTTAGGGCTTCCCCTGACACTGCCTGGTAATGCATGGGTGTTAGTATCCTGAGAGTAGAGTTGCCAGGTAAAATGCAGGCACCCAGACAAACAAGTAACTTTTTAGTGTAATTCTGTTAGTAATATCACATGGGATTGTTTATTTATTTGTTTGTTTGTTTGTTTGTTTGCTAAATGTGGCAACACTACTTGAGTGGTGAACATTGACCAAAGAGATGCAACAGAAGAGGGAGCTGGTGGATAAATTCTCCCTTTCTCCCAGATGGGCTGTTCCAAAGTACGATAATTCATAAGGTTTTCATGAAAATATCCTAAAAGACAGAGGAATTAACTGCACTTATTCCAAAGCTATGGCCGGCTCAGTAACACCTATATTTGTGCTTCCTCCTCCACTGCCTGCCTCACTTCCATCTTTTCCTAACTTCTGCTTCCAGAAATGGTGCCCTCCAACAAAGTGGCAGCAGGTGAATGTTGTTGTTTGCTTGTGGCATTCTCTAGGGAACCTAGGCTAGCACAGTAGTTTGGGTAGCAGATTCTTCAAATGAAAAATGAAACATGAAATAAATGATGATTTTGACAAAGTCTCAAAATCCAGATTGGTTGGGAGCCCTGGAAGTGAATACAATGTGACAGATTCACATTGATCAAATGTACAGTGATAGACTCTTAAATCAGAATAGTCATTTATCACTACTGCGAGAAATATCAATGTCCTGTAGGCAAGAATATCAGCATTGCCTTGACTAAGCATATTCTATTCTTGAATCTCTTTTAAGAATTCAAATTATAACCCAAAGGATGTTGGACTCTGTTAATGCGCTGAATTGTATCCCTCTAAACTTCATGGGTTGACCCCTAGTACCTCCAAATGACTATATTTAAAGATAGGGCCTTTAAAGAGGTAATTAAGGTAAAATAAGGTTATAATCCCACATGACTGGCATCCTTATAAGAAAAGGAGATTAAGATATAAAGGGAAGACAAAAGGAGAAGGGGGACATCTATAAGCCAATGAACCCAATCTTGGACACCTTGATCTTGGACTTGTAGCCTCCAGGCTTTGAGGAAATAAAATTTCTGTTGCATAAGCCACCCAGTCTGCAGTATTTGGTCTGGCAGCGCTACCCAATTAATACAGCGCCCATGAAATCAGAACAAGTGAAATTAGTTATAGAACTTGAATAATTGGGAAAAACTTGTCTAGTTAATCCTGCTCCACAATAAAGACCGTTCTGTTCTGGGGGTACTTCACTATAACCTCCCAACATGTAAACACAGTAAATAGTTTTTAGTTCTAAAAGCTCGAGAACATTTCCATTTCGCAGAAGTATTCCTGTGTCGTGGAACTGAAGCTTTGGTCAGGTAAAAAGACACTCTTTATAAATTCACTTCATTTATTACCATTTATTTAGTTTCTCCACTACAAATGAGTACCTCCTCCAGCTTCCTAATTAAAAATCGCTTGCAATTTAGATTACTAGTACACTTTTTATTAGAATGGTTGACTTCAAGGGTGGATGTTCTTTTACTTTGTTTTCAGTTCAATGTAGTTATTACTCCCAAATTTGCATTGGTGATTCTCTTGGAAAGAGGTAATTTGTTCCTTTTTTAGGCTTTGTTTCTGTAAAAATCAACCTGAAATGATTTTTAAACACTAAAGTAGATTAAATTCTAGCTCTATATGTATTTCTTCTGTTACATAATCCCCCTAAAGCTAACCTACTAAGATTATACTCTAATAATATTTCATATGTGCTATAAAAATTCTGTTTAAAATGAATTACTCTGACTCAGAAAGGAATAACCTTTGCCTGAACATTTAGAACATCAGGCATTAGTTTAGAGACTACCAAATTCGTATGTAATCTAAAATACTTATTAGAAATGTTCCTAATTCATGGTAATGAATAATTATAATTTTACTAAACATTGCTAATTAGGCAAGTATTCAAAGAAGTATCAGGAAAAAAATCAGAAGAACAATATTTCTTAACATTACATTTATTTATGTTAAAAACATTTAACTTTGTTACTTTAAAAATTAAAAATTGTGTGTAGGTCAACATATTATTAAAACTTTAAGTTAATCTTTAAGTCTACAGCTGCTTTTTATAAGATTGCAATTTATAACAACAGAAATTTTAAATTCTGCAGAATTGCTATCAGATTGAAGCATTTTTGTTTTCTATGTATAATTCATTTCTCATACATTCTCTATTATGAATTTAACTTTTTGCTGAAATAATTTACCATTTCAATAGTTGTTCATTTTACCCTTATAGCTTCCTGTTTTAGTGTCATAAAAATGTCTCCTGTGCTCTTAACTTAGAGCCTTCAGAAATCTATATTAAGAAGGATCAATGAATAATGTTTAAACTTAAATCCTGCTTATTTTAAACAGGAAAAAAGTCATGGGTTTTTAAGTGCTAGAAAGAGTAAGTTTACGGAGTTATGCTAATTAAGTATTGGAAATTGGTACTCTGGATATAGGAGAGAGTGAATGTATAGGTCTGTACACACTGGTTAAAATAAAATAAAAATCCTGTTGTTCATTCATCAGGAAAGTGTCTTCAGTTAAGTGAAGTGAGGAGAGTCTGTCTTTCTAGAGTCACTTAGGTTTATGGAAACTTATCCGTTTCAACCTGTTGTGCTGAAACACAATAATCAGTTGATATCTCCTAGGCAAGCTATTTTAAGTCAAAAATTTTCCTTTGCAGTCCCTCCCATTCTGCTTTCCTCATCTTGAGATGCCATTATGAGCACGCAAAAGATGAGCAAATCATCTAGTTGTCAGCTCTCCACCACCATCTTGGTTTCAGGCGCCATTCTCACAGGATTCCATTGTCTTTATCCAAATGGTTTCAGTCTCCTTTTGATGAGGTGTACTCAGAATGTGCAACAGCGATTAAGGTCAGGTTAATAATATACTTGACACACCCTTTTGCACTCTCCCTGGGTGATTGTAACCTTACACCCACTGAACCCAACTGTAGGTGTGAGACCTGAGAGAAGCTCTAGAAATACCAGAAATAAAGAGAATGCTGCAGCCCAGGTGAGGGAGTTTCAAGAAGGGTAGAACGGTCAACAGTGTAAAATACTACAGACAAGTACAGCGAGATGAGGACAGGAAAGAATCTACAGATTGCCCTCAGTGCAGTTTCAGAGGATTGAGAATGAGGACAATGGAAGAATGAATTGAAGTGGGGAAATAAGGACTGGAAACGCTCAGTACTCTTTCGAAGAAGCTTAGTTTCTTTGACTTTGATTTACATTAAGTGCTGCCAAGCCACACCTAGTTTTTCCATTTCTTTTAATTTGAAGGACCAAAGTTGATGTCATTCGGTGTTTGAACTGGTTACAGAACCTTAGAAATCACTGATCAACTTGCTATTCTACAAAGGAGGAATAGTGAAGTGAAATTTATTTTCATGGAGTTTGTTATGTGTAATTTTTTAGTCTATAAGTTTTATAGAAGATATAAGAACTCACAGTTAAATCTTGGAAAATTTCTGGAGGTTAAAAAAAAAGATGAACAGGTTTAAAGGATTCTTAAACAAGTTTTCACAGCTAATGATAACCTTGACCATTGACAAGATTGCTTATTATGTGCCAAGCACCACTTTTCAAAACTATCATCTTATTGGATCCTCCCACAGCAATCCTATTTCACAGATGAGAAAAGGGGGCGGGGCGCTGGGGGGCTTCCAGGGCTTAACTTGCATTAGATTCAATGAGTTGATTCAAAAGCTTTCTAACATTGTGTAGAATGCCTTGTTTGGTTACTTAACCGTCCACTCAAGTACAGAAGAGGTAGTAGACTGAGAAATGCAGATGATAGCAGTCACTTCTCTGGGATGTGATAAACTGCTCCGCTTCCAACACTATGCATCCGTCATCCGTCACTCAAACATCCCACAAACAAACCGCATCCCTCCACCCACTCAGGTCGGTTTTAAGAAGACCCAGCGCAAACTAGCAGAACAGACACAGGTAACACTCCACTGCTACGTGCTCAGGTCGCTGAGGTCTTCTGCCACCTCCCTCTGCGGTGCAAGCCGACCAGCCACCTCCGCGCTGGAGGTGCAGATTAGCATGTGGGGTGCTTTGCATCCCCGGGCTTCGGAGGGGCAGGCGCTTCCGCCCTTCTGGCCCCGCCCCTAGCAACGCACTGGCTTGTGTTAACAACTGGCCGGCTGGCGGCCGCCGATTTCCGCGGGTGGCCTGCGGCGGCGCGATGAGAGTGGGGTCGGGGTGGCCGAGGCCACGGCCGGACCTCCGGGGCCTCTCTTGACTCTCGCGGCTCTCAGGTGGCCTTCCCTTCTCCGTGGCAGGACCTCTGTGTGTCCCGCAGCTGCGGGCTCAGGGCAGCACCTAGGACCCCCACCCCTCACTTCGCCCCCGCAGCCATGTCGACACAGGGGGCGACCGTCCAGGCCCAGGAACCTGGCGGCAGGACCAAGTCCAGCAGCCCTCGACAAATCCCGGTGGTCAGGGTGGTGACGGAGGACGAGGACGCCCAGGTACGGGCAGGTGGATGCGCTTTGGAGGGTGTGGAGGGGGCAGGTTGAGATCTGGGGGCGGGGGCGAGGCCGAGGCAGCAGGGGCCGAAATGACCCAGGTGGAAACACGCGGAGCCCGCGGTTCCGAGCAGCCCAGAGCTGATCCTTCCGAGAACTGCGCCTCCTGCAAGCAGGGTTAGCTGTCGTCAACCAACCTGTGTGGCGACTTGAGCCGCGAGGCCCTCCCAGAGTGTCCCCACTGAGCTGTGCAGGCGAAGCTTTGCAACTCATCTTCCAAAAGTGTGCCTACGAGGGGCTTGGGGAAGGAGCAGTTCTTAGCGAAAGCAGGAATTTGACCACTTTATTTGAACTGTGCTTTTGTAGGTGGATTCCTTTTATCAAGTGATGTTCTTGATAGAGGCAGAAATTTCTCCGGTGTTGAAATTTGCTGCTATTAACACCTGTATCGGGAGGGGAGGAAAATGCTGTTAAAATTAGACATGAAGAGTTGTTTTCATATGAAATTGGAAGCTGATTGTGGAGAGGGTCAGAGAGAACTGGCAGCGAATAGAATTGATTTATTTTTGTGCTCGTATTTGGTTTTGAGTTTACTTTTGCGATGAATACAAAATTAATTCTTTCAAGTCGGTCTGTTGAAACATCTCCCTTGGATTTCCATTTGTGGTGGGGTTGTTTAGTTGGAAACTCCAAGTCGTTTGTTTCGTGCGAGAGGTCCATTGCTCCTCGCTAGAGAGCCATGATCAAGCCCTAAAACGTGAATTCTATGGAGGAATCCTGTCCCTCCTCCTCACACTAATGGCGTGGGGCCGCTGTGGGAATTCCTGTTGAGACTTTGCAAGTCTCAGGCTGCGTCAGGAGCCCTGTCTCCTGGGTCCACATCCTGGAACCTTGGCGAGTTCCTTGGGAGTGGCTAGTGAGTTGGCTGGGGACCTCTTCTCCTGTGGGAAGACGGTTGAGCTCTGTGAAGATGGTCAGACATTTACATTACTTGTGGAGCAACAGTACACTTTTGCATGAGGAGGAGCAGGGGTAATTTTCCTAAACAGTTATGTGGAAATATTCCAGCCCGGGCTGGGAGAAGAACTTTGAGGAACAGTAGTAGCTCTCCAACTCGCAGGGCTGGCTGCAAAGGTTGCAACACGACCGCTGTTCTCCCAGACACCGAGCAAAACTGGGAAGTAGGTGAATTTTGTAACTTATGGCTCTCATTCATATTTCCTTTACTTGCTGTAAAAAAAGGGGTGGGGTGGCAAGGGGATATGAGGCAAACAAGCAAGGGTTAGACAGAGAGAGAGAGAGAGAGAGAGAGAGAGAGAGAGAGGAAATACTTTAAAAGGCCATGGTCAAAATAGTCCATAACATATCAAGTAAAGCAAACAAGTGTACCTTTTTCCTTTCATGCTTCCGTTTCTTTCATTACTAACTCTCCATCCATGACCTAGGATTCTCATCCAGGAAGAAATCAATTTGTATTAATTAAAGTTCCTACCTTGTTAATAATAATGACGAGAAAAAATCCTGAGATGTCCTGCATTAAATTACATCAGGCCTAGGGAGTGAGAGAAAAAAGCAAGAGTAGTTAACCAGTTCATAGCTGTGGGCCTTTTAACAAAAGACTGCTCACATTCCTGAATATATTGCTGTGTTGGAGCTGTGAATACACCTACAGGTGTCTTATTAGCTGACCACTAGACCCATTGCTTCCTGCATATGCATGAATCATGAACTTTCAAGACTGTTGTTGCCAGTCAAATGTAGTAAATATTGCTTAGAGATTGTGCACCTCATATAGAACTGCGCCTGCTTCACCCTTTGCCTGCTCCCCTTATCTGTAGCCAATGTAAATTCTTTCAAAACAACTTACACCTTTCTTCCCCAAAACATAAGGTATAAAAGCTCTCCCCAACTCCAGGATGGGACAGATTTGTCTTTTTGACCTAGCCCTGCTGCTGGTGGTTTAGACTGCATTGCCCCAGGACCTGGTCCTTTTTTTTTTTTTTTTTTGGCTAGCTTACACCTCAATAAATCCTTTCTTTTAGAAAAGCTTTCCGCTGTGAAAGGTTTTTTTGTTTGTTTATCTACTTCAGAAGTATTGATATTTTATAAAGTATTAAAGAAAAAGGCAGTACCTACCAAAAGAAATACAATCAAAGAAAAACTTTGTAGCTGGGAGAAGTGATCACAGCCTTTCTAAGGTTTGTTTGTTTGTTTTTTTACAAATGAGGACCCTGAGGCTTTGAGAAGTTACTTGAGAGTTACTTGGTTTCTTTACTCAGAGTGGGTGGGGTCTAGTCCTCTTTGCCATCATTAGAACGGTAACTTTTTAGACCTCTTCTGCCTCAAGCCAGTAGAGGTAAGACTGGTGGGACTCGAAATGTTTTCAGTCCTTTCAAACCACTCCACATTTGCAACTTGAGAGACAGTATATCCTAGTCACTAAAAGTGAGAATGTGGATTCTTCCTCAATTCTTTAAGCCAGGTCCATCATAGGCTGGAAATCACAAACTGTTTACCCTTTATCTATCTCCTGTTTATTTTAATGTTGTTCCTCATTCGAAAGAATCTGAAACCCTTTTGAGCAGTGCTTCTCAAATTTTAATGTGCATTTGGAACACCTGAGGATTTTATTAAAATGTTTCTGATTCTGTAGGTCTGTGGTGGGGCCCTGGACTCTGCTTTTCTAACAGGATTCCAGGCAATGCCACTGTGACTGGTTAGAGGACCCCATTTCCCACTCAGAGCAGCAATGCTTAGTGTATGATGGCTGCAGGATGGTGTGAAGGGTTACAGAGTTTCACAACAACTAACTCAGGAAAGCTGTAGGAGGTAGTTTAATAAGGACTCAGATTATAAAACAAAGTAAACATTAACAATAAAACACAATTCCAACCCTCCCCTCACCAGGTCAGATGATGTGGTAAAAAAAAATAATAATAAGGGGCACCAAGTTGGGCTTTAAAAGAGCTGTTTGCTCTCCTTTCTCGTCACTACAGCAACTCAGTCAGTCCTGGATTAATCGTTCCTCCTCCTCATCAGGCCTTCGGTTTGCTCCTTTTCCTTTGCCCAGTCTGTTTTCCATAAACACCACGTCATCCCCCTTTGTCCCTGAGCCTCACCCTTCTTCCTTTCAGGATTCTACAGAATCTCCTTATTGCTTACCTCGCCTAATATGTATAATTACACCGGCCAAATCACTTAACCTCTCTAGACCTGTTCCCTTTTCTATTATCAAACAAACAAACAAAAAACTTTCAGGGCCAAAAGATTTTCGAAAAGAAAGGGCTTATTGAACCATATGCTAGCCAGAAAAGGACCAGGTCCTGGGGCAGGACGTCTAAACCACCAGCAGCAGCAGGTGAAGGCAACGGATCCATGATGCCGGAGTTGATGGGGTTTTTTTATGCATCAAGTAGGGGGGAGGAAAGATGTTAGTTGTTTTGACAGAATTGGCGTTGATAAAGGGGGTGGGAGAAGGTGACGCGGGGCCAGTTCTGGGATAGGTGCACAGTCCCTAAGGGAGAAGTGTTTGTTCCTTTGGATTGGGTGAGGGCAGCAGTCCAGAAAGTTCGTGGATAAGCAAAGCAAGTGAGAAGGGAGGCCCCTGGTGGTTAGTCGCACCTTGCTATTCTCTTTAGATAATCATGGAAATAGCCACCTGGAAGTTATTTCAGAGTTCCAACACCCATCCAGGAATGTAAGCAGCCTTTTGATGGTTTTGCCCTGTTAACTGATTAACCTTTTGTCTCTCTCTTCCTTCCACCCTCTGACCTGCTGTGATTAGTTTAGGGCACCTCAGAGGTTTCTCCTTGTTAGCATAAAACCAGCCTGTACTAGATGAGTGTTCCCCAAACCTGAGTGTCCATCATAGTCATCTCAGCTTGTTAAAAACACTGTACTGTACATGCTACAGATCTACTCAGGCATAACCCCCAGTATGGAGCCTGGGACTCTTCAAAGGTTCACTCCAGTGATTGTCAGCCTCAGGACCCCTGTACCAAATGATATTCAAGGTCTCTGCCATCCCTAAAATCCCTCAGCTCCACTTCTCTGCTCTGTTTTCAAGGCTTTCCAGGGCATAATCTGTACTTTATCTGTTTATGTATGCTGTGCTTAGAGCCAGCGTCATGAGGACAGAAACCTCGTCTAGTGTTTTTTAATGCAGTGTCCCCCATTTCCCCCAATATTCCCACTGGCAACATCCAGCACAACACTTGGTACACATAAGGTGATATTTAATATTTATCGAATGAATCCCTTTCCCTCTTTTCTGAATTTACATCTTACCCCTCCCCCCAGATCCTGCCTCTGCAACATAAAGTACTCCCCCAATAGGACACACTTCCCATTTATTTTCACCCTCACAGACCTGCTGCTGATAAATGGGTATAGTCCTAGCTCTGAGTCACACAGTTTTTCATCTAATTATCGCTTGTTTTATGTTGGTCACTGTTTCATTTATCGAAGTTTTGTCTCTCTCACTAGAATCTGGATTCCTTAAAGTGTGTACTATATCTTAATACTTACATGTCCTTCTCCCCTGGACTCTGAGCTCAGAGTGGAAATACAAGTCCTTAAAGTAGCTTACAAAGCCCTCTGTGTTCCAGCCACACTGGCCGCCAGCCTCTCCTCGCCCATGCCCGGTGTGCACCTGCCGAAGGGCCTCGCACTTGCTGGGCCCATTGCCTGAACGTTTCCCTTTGATATTCGTGACTTTGCCCCTTTACCTGCTTCAAGACTGCTGAAACGTTACGTGCGCTGTGAGTCCTCTGCTGACCACTGCTGGTGCACCCTGGCACTTCTCCCTGTCTCCAGATCGGCACCATCTTGTTGTATGCTGTATAACTTATTGATTTTGTCTCCCTCAAAGCATATCAATTCTTTATGAAAGCAGATTTTATGTGTTTTATTCAATATCATATCTTTAGCACTTAGAACAATGTCTAACACAGTATAAGCTCTCGATAAATATTTGTAGAAAAAACATATAATTGGGATTATCTCAGTTGCGTAGGTATCATGGCTGAGCTTCCTTGCCCAAATTTGCTCTCCCTCTGAGAGCCTCCACAATCCGCTAGTTGATTCATATTCCGCCACTGTCTGTAATATTGCGGTGGGCTGTGTCTTTAAAATTGCCTACCCCTGTTTTGGAGAAATTGTTAGAAATAACCTCTGTGGACAATTGAGTCAGGCAGAGAACTAAAGTGCAAAGAACCAGCATTCATGCATCAAACACACCTGCTGGCCCATTTACTAGCTATGTGACTTTAACAAGTTAGGTCTCAGGGTCCCAGTCACAGCAACAGATATAACAATGCTACCTTTATACGGAAGATTTGAGGATTAGTTAAGATATAAAGTGCCAGGCACATAAAAGGACCACAGTAAATGTTAGTTCCTTTCCCTATAACAAAGTATCAAACGAGTAAGATTTCTCCCCTTTGAAAGGTCCCATGGTAAAGTGGGAAAATAAGTTCATCCTATAACTTGAACTTGGAGGCCTAATGTGCTTCACAGCAGTTTATTAAACTTTTGAACTTTAAAAGGTTTTGTTAAATATTTTTGCAATTTCTCTATAAACATCTTATGATAACAGCAGTTATTTTGATATTCACATGTGTGTGTTTTCTTTTGCTCTTACACTCTGCTTGTGTGATCTCATTACCCAAACTTTTCCAGTTATTTGTACTGTGATTTAGAACTCTCTACCCCAAATTTAACTCATCTCCAGCCTCAACACAAGCCTCTTCCTCCAGCATTCCCTACCTAATTCCTCAAGCCCAGGAGTCACCCTCCCCTTTTTCTTCCCTTTCCCACCAAATCAAATCACTTGTTAGGCTCTGCTGACTTTACCTCCTGGATGTCTGTCATTCCACTCGCTGTTGTCTATCCCAGTTACCAGTACCTTAGTCAAGGCCTGAAGTTACAGACTGCTCTCCTACTGCCAGTCTAGACCTTTCCAGTTCAGCCTCTACTCAGGAGACAAATTATCTTGTTATTGTTACATTCCTCTGGTTAAAACTTGAGGAAATAAACCGACCCCCCTAATGAGAACAAACAGGCTATTTATTCAGAGCTTGCTATAGAAAGTACAGCCAGCATTACTGGCATTTGGCAGGGCCCCAGGGCAGTCAGGGAAGCTTCACAGTGGAAAAAAAGGAAGGCTTCTGGTTGCTCTGGTCCGAGGTGGTTGCCATGGGGAAGCCGGAGGTGAGCTGGCTTGTACAGGGCATCCTGTGGGATTCATTTGGGAAGCATATTTGCCTTTTTCTGGGTCCTGAGTGGCACATGGGGGGAAAAATTAGGGAGTTGGGCAGTCATTGACCTAATTCTGACTTTTCTGAACCAACCGCTGTAGAAGGTGTGGGTTGGCTCCCCAGGTTGGTTGCTGCAGGTTGTAGACCAGAGTTCTAGTGCCATGTATAGTCTGGCCATTGTCCGCTTCTATGTCCAGGCGCTCAAACCATCTAGTAACTTCTGAAGATCCTTGGCATAGCATCCAAGGCCTTCTGTAAAATGGAGGAGTTAATCATGGTTTCTACGTCATAGAATTTAATTAGTAATATGTATAAACAGCTTACAACTACACCTGAAAATAGACATTGTCTATTAAGTTTTAGCTGTCACCATCATTGTTATTATCATTATTATTCATGATCTGACCTCTGCTTAACCTCATCAGCAGCATCTGTAGCCACAATCCCCTACACTCTCCTCTCCCAACATGCCAGGTGACACAGGATCTGCCAAATGCCATTTGCTGCTGCCTTCAGGCCTTCACACATGCCACTTCCTCTGCCTCCATCTCTCGAACTTTCAGTTCATCTCACAAACCCTACTCCTCTCACCTCTGCCTGCAGCTCACTTCTTCTGGAAGCTGTCCCAGGCTCCCTCTCTTCCTCCCCACGCCATTCTGTGTACTTCCACCACATACCTCTTAGCAGTCACAGAGCACTTGGTAACATGTCATCTGTATTATCTGCACCCCATGCCAGACTGACAGCTACTCGAGTTCATGGCAATGTTTTTCCCACACCTAGCACAGTGTCTAAAACACAGAAGCTGCTTATAAATATTTGTGAAAGGAGGTAAGGCTAAGGGAGGGAGGAATCTTTAAAATATAATATAGTCCAAGCAAATAAAACACAGAGTAACATGAAGTGATAAATACAAGACAAATCTAAGAGGAATCTATGCTTTAATCTTTACTACTCTCTATTTCTTATGAGAGTGATACTGTTCAATGGGGCAGAATAATCTAATAATACATTCAAGTATTAAAAAGAAAATCCTAGGGCCGGCCGAGTGGCTCAGTTGGTTAAGAGCTCGCTCAAGAGTTTGAGCTCTGAGCAACAGTGGTTTGAGTCCAGCCCGAGCTGAGCAGCTGCTGAGCTGCCAACAGGTAGCAGGATGGCTCAGCTAAAAAAAAAAAAAAAGAAAAGAAAATCCTGTATTGACTTTTCATATCCTTTCCAACCCTCAAAGCCAATATTGCATAAAAACTCATGATATATATTTCTCTGAGAACACAGGAAGAAAAAAGAAAGAACAACTGAGGTAGTGGCTGATAGCACTGTTAAATACCAATTCTGTTTACAATTTTTTTGGTAACAGTAAATTTAATAATATAAACAATTTAACAGTAAAATATAGATTTCAATGGTAACCATAATACCAGGTATAGTTCAGTGTTTACTAAATCCTTTTTGGTTGTTAATTTTTAAAGTAAAAAATCATTTTGAATAAATAAACTCATTCCAATACTTATTCTGCAGAGTTAAAGTTAGAATGCTTAACTGAAAATTGTTTTTGAAAGACATTTTTTAAGGTCAGAATAAGAGTTTCTAATTGTGAAATGGAAAGAAATTCTAGATTTAAGAGTCAATGGAATAATGACTGTGGAAATATGGAAATGTATGAATCATACATTTAAAAGTCAGAAAATACAATGGTGTTAACATGAAGTAAAATTATATAAAATATTTATTCATGTAAATAAAAACAGAAAATAATATGTAAAAATATAAATATAAATAGATGTACTTAGATGATAGGAATAAATAGGATTTTTCCCCCCTTTTGTAGCATCATTGCATCATCTTTTCAGTTATTTTAAAGTAGAAGTAAGCACGAAAGCAGGCCCAACGGGAGGAAGGAAGAAAATAAACGAGATTGGGATAGATTAACTCATATAATAGGAATACGCAATTTTGATACAACAATTGAATTAAAAAGAAAATGTCATGCAACAAAACATTAATCCCCAAGATAAATATAACCAGAACTGCATTTAGAATTTGAAGATTTCTGCATCATCATAAATACTTAAGCTTTGGACAATAGCACCATCTGTTTCCTTCACCACTTACCAACAAGTAACTTTATATAAATCCCAGGCCCAGTGTTTGGTGCTGCAGGTGCCAAAAAACAAAAACCTTTGCCCTCAAATGAACTTTGGGCCAGGGTGTGGTGGGGCATAAACACGTGAACCATTTTAGAACAACGTGATGGGAATGGCGATGGGTAGACACGTAGGGTACTATGGGAGCACAGAGAGGGGACATTTGTTCTGTCCTTTTTCATCCCCTGGGGAGGTGATTCCTGAGCTTTGTCTTGAAGGGCCAACCTGTGGGGTTAACCAAGGAGAGGAATAGAGTTGTAACAACAGAAATGAAAACAGAGGAGGGGGTGAGAAGGATTGGTAGAGAGCCATTGAATGATTCAGAGGGGTTCTATTCAGATTTGCGTTTTATTACTCTGACCTTAGGGTAGAAGACATGTTGAAAGGTCCAAGAGTCAAGCCAGGGGGAACAGCAGGAAATCTTCTCAATTGAGTGAGAGATGAGAACTGAATAAATCAGTAAGAAGGAATGGGCTCAAGAAATACTGAAGATGTAAAATCTGTAGAGCTTGGCAGTTGTGTCCTAATGTGGATGACTGTGCTGGTACCAACTGAAAGAGGGGATGCCTAGTTCAGGAGGGCGATTTCCTACCTGTAGTGTAGAAGCGAGTCTTATGTGTATCTGCATAGACAAATTCAGTGTAATGTGTGTGCATGAGATGTAGAATATGTATGAATGAGATCATTTTATTTTCCAAACCATGGAAGTGCTGTTATTCCAGATACTCTCTTAGACCTTTTAGGACTAATGAAATTTAAAGACATTGGATTATAAGAATTTAATTTAAAGACATTAAGATTTTAAGATTAGAATTCAAGAAGTTTTTTTTTAACTCTGAAATTTATTTATTCCTATAATGTCTCATCTGCTTTTCATTCTCTCCTGTCTTTTTGTTATAATATATCTTATAAGTTACCAAGGGATAATATAATATAAATATAGTATGTTTGATGTGATTTCTTGATTCTCATAATATAGACTATTAAGAGTTGTATGTTTTTTAGGGTGCTTTAAAGCCCATGGACCTAAGTCGCGTCATCAAACTCCTTGAAGAGACTGATAAAGTAAGCTTTGAGAGAAAATTTCTCTGCTATATCACTTATAAACCATGATTTTCCTGAAAGGTAACATGTATTTCCCCAAGTATAAGTCTCATTTCTCACGTCTTATTGAAAATCTTCCAAATAGTGTATATCTTATATTCAAGGACTATTTAAATTTAGTATGAATGTATTTAACCTGATAGGGAGGCTGGAGGAGAACAGATTAGATTTCATGGGATGGACAAAATAATGGTGGAAGTAAAAAAGAAGGAATCATAAGAGTAGAAAAAGACTCATCTAGCCTCTGTATTTGATTGTTACCAAGTAGGATGTGTGGAACAAAGTAGAAAAGATGCATCATGATATACTACTTAAATTTTTCTGATATGGAATCACCATATATATATACACACACATACATATTCATAGGTAATTTATTTTGACAGAAATCTTACATAGAATGTAATGGAAATAAAATTACTTTAGATACGAGGCTCAAAATGGAGATCTCAGGCATTGGGAAAAGATTAACAAATGCATATGCATACCTGCTCACACACCATATACTCCTGACGTTACCCAAATTGACTGAATGCCTACAAGCCAGCACACACTATGAAATCACTGCAGGACAAAGATGGCGTACTTTTAGTAAGTGGTAAATGGGCTGACCGTGGTAGAGCTCATCAGAACGGAACATCTTTTAGTCTCTACATTTTTACATAGAAAGAAGAAAAACCGATAAAAATAGTAATTTACGTTTTGCAGGCTATGTTTGTTGTGAAAGTTATTTTTCATTGTGAATATATCTGCATTTTTTAAAAAAGAAAACCCAACTACATGTAGCTCCTACTAGTTGTTAAGTGAGGATGAGCAAAAAAAAAAAGGGGGGTGGGAGAAGAAAGTATAGAAAATGCCACCGCTTCTTATAAGCAATTTAAGATTAAAAAGACAGAAGGGATTCAGTCATGAAAGCACATTACTGTAGAGTTAATTTTGTTTTAATTGGCTGAATATGTTTGGCTTATGCCAGTACTGTGGGCATATTTTAAAGGTTAGAATACAATTTCTGGAGTCAGACTCCTGATACCACCACTTATTATCTGTGCGGTTTTGGACAGATTAGTGTTTCAGTCTGAGTTTCCTACTCTGGAAAAGAGGAATAATAATAGTACCTTCCTAATAGGACTGATTTGAAGCTTGATAGCTGTGTATAGTGCCTAAATGGTTCATGGCATAGAAATGCTCAACATACTTCGGGTATTCTTAATATTATTTCTGGAAACAATTACTGCTCTTATATTAACCTAGTTTTAATTCTCAATTTCCTAATCAAATTTAAATGGTAGTTTATTCTTACCTTCACTGTTTCAGGAAACATTTTATAGTGCTTACATTATAACATAATAATTTAAGAATTTCTTAATAATTTTGATGTGTCTACTTTTTATATTAAATGTTTTTTACTCTCGACAGTTTTATTAGCACAAAAGAACTAAAATAGATCATTTGTTTTAGGGTGGTTTAGAAGAAAAACAACTTAATAAATCTGTCAAGAAACTGATGCAATATTATCAGAATGGACTTGTATCCTTTACATACATATGTATGTTTGTTACATTTATCCTGAAATGGGAGATTTTTATTAGAAAATGTATTCGTTCCCTATTGCTGCTGTAACAAGTTACCACAAACTTAGTGCCTTAAAACAACATAATGTTTTTGTTCTGGAGATCAGAAGTTCAAAATAAATCTCGCTGAGTTACCAAAGTCAAGGTGTTAGCAACCTCGAGGGAGAATCCAGTTCCTTGCCTCTCCCAGCTTCTAGACGCGGCCTGTATGCTTTTGGCTCATGGCCCATTTCGTGAAGTAGCATTACTCTCACCTCTGCACCTGTCATCACTTCTCCTGCCTCTCTTTCCCTTATAAGGACCCTATGATTACATTGGTTCTAACTGGATAATCGAGGATAGCTTTCCCATCTCAAGATTTTTAACTTAACCACTGTAATGTCCCTTTGCCATGTAAGGTAACATTCTCAAGTTCTAGACATAGGATGTGGACATCTTTGGGCGGGCCATTATTCTGTTTACCACAATAAATGTCTAACATTTTGGGTTTTTTATAAAATTACATTTTTTGTTTTTTAGAAAATAGAAAATTGAAGAAAACTGTAATGCTGTTAACTCTGTGCAGATAACGTCAGTTTCTATAGGCTCAGAGAGACAGTGCATGTAGTTGGGAGGGCCACGTCAAAGTTTTGTTTCTGTCAACTTACTTGACTGTTTGCACTGTTGATAAGTTTCTTAACTTCTCCGCCCTTGTAAAATAGGGATAACAGCACCTCATGCAGTTGTTAAGAAAACTAGATGAGATAATGTACATGCAAGTGCTTGATAACCTGCAAAACATTATATAAATAGAAGGTACTACGCCCGCTGCCTATATCACCCCGATCAGAATATGTGGAAACTAGTGTGTCTCAAAACTCTCTGTACTTAAGAATCAGTTTGTTATTGGGTGCCTGTTATTGTTTTAGTCCTTGCATATATACTCGTATGTGCTATTGTGAAATGCAATAAAATTGTCACAGGAAGCTCACTTTCTGTGGTCACCTTGCCACACACTGGTAGCACACAATTTCAGAAGTGGCAGTCGTCCATGGACCACCCCTGCAGCAGTTGTGATCTAAATGATTTCTGGCAGTTGTGCGGCCTTATCTAAAGAAGGCATCAGTCTCTAATATTAGCTTGTTCCAGCATGTCAAAACGCCTAAAGCCTCCCACTCAGGGAAATGTGCTTATAACTTTACCTAATGTTTCTCTTATCGTAGTTTAGCCTAGTCTTATATGGATTTGTTGGGCCAGTTACCTGAGGGCTTGTGGATTTCACGCACTATTTACTGGTAGCCAAGAAAGTCTACTTTCTTGCAAGTGATTTCTTTTCCTAACTATCATTTTTCCTCTTCTTCAGGCTACAGAGAAGGTGGCAAATGGCTCTATTTCTGAGTGCCTTTAGTAGGCTGTCTTTAGAGGTTATAAAACTTAAAGCAAAGATAAATTAAGGAAGTAGCTTGGTCACTTATCTAGGAAGTTAACAGAGGTTTATATTTCTAATATACCCAGCTCTCACAACTACCATGTTCCCTTAGTTGTAAAACAAAATTATGAAATTTGGTTATGTCCCAATTGGGTTTTTTGAATAGGTGAAATTAAAAGGTGCTTTTACTAGAAAATCTAGAGATGGTACATTTTGCTTTCATACTAGTTTTAAATGAAATAAAATCTCAACCAATTTAAGCCTTAAAAATAAGAAAATGAATCAGAGTAATGTTAATAAAGTGACGCAGAAAAGTAAGGTAGATTTGGGTTGCTTATTCCGGAGCAGTTAATGTTTCATATGGGTGGGTGAGGATGAAGGATATAATTGAGCCATTAAATTAATTTTGTTCAATGTGTTATTACTCATTGACAATAGTAAGTTATTGACCAACTGAATCTGTGGCATAGTAGTTGGTAGTCAAATTCTAAAGGTGTAATAAGAGGAGGAAAAAAATTTTTAAATAGCTTACTGAGACAAAAATTAAATAATATTCCTTAAAAAAAATTTGGTTTTAAGTTTCCCTCTTTAGACTTCAAAATTAGTATAATTAAAATAGTGTCGACCACGTTTAACAAAAGAGAAATTCTATAGACTTTCGTGCTATAAAGAATATGTTAATAAAAATATTAATATTAGTTTTATTTCTTAACTAAAAATATTACAGCCCCTACGGGATTTAGCACAGATATTTAAAATTCTGAATCTGTGTGCAAGAAAAATTCAACACCAGCCCCATTTTATGGAATCTGCATATAATATCCTAAAATTATGTAGGTAAGTTGTTTTTCTTTAACTTTATTTTACATTAGCATGCAGTATATTTTATGTTTTATTTTGTATTATGCATTATGGTGTAGCAAAATGATACAGCACTCCGGAAACCACTTGATCACTTGATTCTAGCAGTTAGTATTTCAAAGGTCATCAGTTTTGTAGTCTAGGATTGCTAGGCACAAGAGATTAAACTGTATGTATATTAAAATATTTCCTCATAATAAGTTGCTCTCAAGTGAACTACAAAGGTGAGATGAAACCAAGAAATATTTTTAGAGAATCCTTGAGAAAATGTGTGGATAATACGTAATAGTTTCAGGCTAGTTTTTTTTCTCTATCTTTAAAAAATTTAACTTAAAGATATATTAGGGTCTATGTCCTGTTTTATTTGATTTTCCAAATTTGAAATAAGAATAAAATGTCAAGTTATTTTTTATATATATATTTTTAATGTTAATTAGAGGTTAGAATTTAAAAATGAATATGTCCCACCCTCTGTACTATTGTTTCTCCATTTTGGGGAACTAGGAATATCTTTTGTTTCCTTGCTGCCACATAGTGACTAATCAAGGTATATATTAATATCTATTTTTAGTTTTCAAAATAATATAGTAGAACAAATTTCTTAAAGTAGGAATAAACCTTTCTGACAATTTAACCTTCTAAACCTTTCTACCAATTTAGCTTTTTAAATAGGGTATTTCTCTTAATATGCAAATAATATTGGAAAGACTATATAATAGTAGGTTGTAACTCTAATTTTTAGATTTAGCAGCAGTAATATTTAAAATTTTGTAACTACTTACATTTGATTTTTTTTTTTTTTAAGCTGAGCCATCCTGCTACCTGTTGGCAGCTCAGCGGCAGCTCAGCTCGGGCCGGGACTCGAACCGCTGTTGCTCAGAGCTCAAACTCTTGAGCGAGCTCTTAACCAACTGAGCCACTCAGCCAGCCCTTACATTTGATTTTTTCGATTCAAAAAATAATTTATTGAATGCCTTTACCATGCCTTACTTTTTAATAGAGACCTTGAAAAATAAAGAAACTATTGCTAGGGTGCTTTCAAGGAAATTTAATGTACAAATTGGAAATTGTTGTTATTATAACTGGCATGAGATTATGTGTGTAAAAAACATTTTCAAAATTTGAGACTGTGCAAGTCCTAGAACACCAGGCTCATAAGCATTACTTTCAACATCAGTACTCCTACAGAGCTCCAAGAACTGGTTCTCTATGAAACTGTGACAAAATGTTTCATTGCATAATATGACAAACCTTTTGAATTACTCCACTTTGCCTTGTATTTCATAATTATTCATATTTCATTTTATTTCTACTTTCTTAATTTCTGCTTTCGATCTTGCATTTTTCCATACCTCACCCTCACTTGATTCCCTTTTCAAGAATTTTTTGAGAGATAAAAACATTGAAAATTAGAAAATAAAAAAAGCCTTTCTATTTTGGCCTCTGAGTAGTATGCTTTTCTCACTGTATCAGAAATGCAATGCTTTTTTTTTTCCCCGCAACCTTTTTTGGTAGAAAACTCTTCTGATGTTTTATCTTTTAGGTTGTTTCCTTTGGTAGAAAATGAAAAAGTTTGAGGACAAGTAGAACTAGTTTTAGAATTCTTCACATTAGAGGTTTAACAATGAGCTGGATAATTAGTAATAAGTTATTTGTTTCAAATGATAAATTCTAACAAACACTAGAAACGAACCTCTATGGCATTTATAAAATTGTCCTTTTCATAGCATATATCCATCCACAAGTGAGATAGTTCTAAGTGCCATTTTGCAGCCACTTGATTAATTTTTCTTGAAAAACATTAATGAAAAGTCCTATAATAGGATATATTATACTTTTAAATAAGTAGCATAGGAGGTTCAAATTTTGAGCTCAAGAAATACCAAAATAGTTTATATTTTGTATTTAAGAGGTAACTTTTATCTCTCCTTTGACATTTAGACTAATTAATGACCTAGGTTCAAGTGCCTTGTCTTTTATGACTTATAAATAAAGTATTTTCAAATAACTTTGGTTATAGTGGCTGTGAAATGCAATTATAATATAATTAATGTTTGTTAACTTGGATTCCTTAGTGTCTCAAAAAGAATATCTTATTTTGTGGATAGTAACTGACCCAGTTAATAAGGAAAGGTCACTGACCTTTAAAAACAAATAGACCATTGATCTATTAACTAGAGTTTCAAAAACTTCAGAAAAATCCCTTGATCAACTTTTAAGTTATGGTAAGCCTAGATCTGTGATTTGTATCAGGTTATCTAATGTCATACTAATTTGGATAGAAACTGAGCTATCATCCCTTATTATTTTTCCTTCGAGAGAAAGAGAATTAATTTTTAAGTTTTTTTATTTATGTGGTGTTGCACGATTGCTTTCTTAACCCTTGTTTTTCATGTCTGTTTATCTTCATTTTTATTAGCTTATTTTATTTTATTTTTGGTCAATTAGAGACACAAATTTTTTTTATATAGTTATCAATTCCTAGGGCTAAAGATTAGGATATTATTCTCATTTTATTTGCTAGAAAGGAAATTTTCCCCTACTTTGCAAATGATGCTTTGATTAAGGACTTCATTAAACATAACTCGTACATTCTTCATTCTTATTGAAGCTTGCCATTTTTGAAAAAAAAAGTATCGGATGAAATAACATATGCTGAAGATACTGCTAACTCAATCGCACTTCTGGGTAAGTTAAGATTTCCTTAAAATATAGGGGTGTAACATATGACAGGTGCTACCGACAAAAAAGAAATATCTCTTTCACTAAGTTTCACTAGGAGTACTCCTCCAAATCTAGGCCCTTTTCTTCTTTTCTGGTTGGGAATTAATCATAGTGTGCTTGGTGATAATTTTGTATTGTTTTCCACTCAGGTGTTTCATGATACCAACAAGATTCTGTGTTTCTTAAGTATAAGGACTGGCAGATACTTCTGAACATTTATTTGTCTTGATGTTATTCAGTTTGTGTTATTTAGAAGTATTTGTCCCTCTCAGTAATCACAAAATGTTTTCAACTTTGAACTCTAATAATTGCTAGAATCATTGAGAGCCAAATTGTTCAATAAATAATCTAAAGTTTTAAATAAAATCATAAAATGACAGAACATTAAGAACTTCAGCATAATATACAGAAAGAAGGTGCCTGTGTTTTGTATTCAAAAATATGAAAAAATATAAAACAGCAGGTGTTTGTATTTCAGTTATTGCTTGATTTTCTAGAGAAAGAAAATTATAATTTCCTAGAAAATGAGACCAAACACTAGTGCCTTGAATCTATCCTTGAGACATGACAGCGTGTTCCCAAAACAAATCCTACATTAAATTTATACTTATTAATTTAGGTCTTTGTTCATATAAGAGAAACGAAAGATACACAATTGGCTCAACAAATAAAAAATAAGTATTTACTGAATAGTTAGTTATGTTCCCAGCATTATATACCATACTGAAAGATTTTAGAGACACACCTGGAATAAGTAAAAAACGTTTTTAATTTTTAACATAGACACTAACCCCTTTACAACTAAACAAGTTTCATAGTCCTCAACTGTAGATACTTCGGGGAAAATTTGTGGCCTAGAGTAGGTAAAGGTGTCGAGGAAATTAGAATAAATATGGGGAGTTAGATAAGATGACCTTAAGAAGCAGGCAGGCGAAAACCCAATGGGAAACTTAGTTCTGCACATCTCTGTCATCAGTGGGAATTTACAAAGAGAAGCCAACCAAAAAGGAGACATGGCAGTATTAACAGATCCAAAGTGTAGGTTTGGTTGGTAACATTTTTTAAATGCCGCTGTTGCTCCTGTTATTTTAAAATGTTGCCTCCGAGAGTGTTGGCAGACATTTGTATGAGAAATACACAGCCCATTTCTTTGTGTCAGTCTGCTCTTTGCTGAATTACTGCCTGCCTACAGAATGTGTTACTCTCTCATTTCAGGCCAGTATGAACTCAGCTTAAAATGAACTCCCTTCACTGATTACTGAGTGCAAGTACTGCTGTTCTGTCCCTAATTTATTCATTACTGGAAACATGGGTTTAAACTAAAATAATTATAGGTAGTGTAAAGCATTGAACAAAGGCTGTTTATTCTTTACTAATAACTTCCAGTTTTACTAGGCACTAATAAATTACTTATTTTTCTAAATGATAGATATTTCTGACTCAAGAGCAGGATTCCGGTAATGTATGAGTGAAGAGACACTCTGCAATGATATTATAAAACAGGAAACGAAGAACGAAAAGGGTGGAGAAGCAGATGAGAAACCTTAGAATTTCCCATAACCTTGAATGTTCGGTTAGTTTTGTTGGAAAAGTTTAGTTGTTTCTGTTGCCTAAATTTTTTCAAAACGCAATTTTTCAACTTCAAAGGAAGGGCCCAAAAAATAAATAAAATTGAGAAAATAATCTTGAAACTGCCCTTTTTTGTAGTGGTGTCTTTTGCATATAGCTTCTCCTAAAACAAGGATGAGGCTTCCCTGTGCTCTCTCCTTCGGTCCACTTGCGTCCATGTTCACTGATCACCCCAGAGATGAACGTTATGTAAGCCCTAATGCAAAACTCAAGTCTTCAGGGAACACGTGTTTCATCCCTTTTTCCCTCTGAGAATCCAACCAGATCTGATTCAGCCCTAAAGCTAACACTACTGAGTCCAGTTGTCCTCAATCATCCAGAGGGAATGGATTAATTCTAAAATTTCACAGATCATTTTCAGATTCCTTTGAGGATCCCATTTGTAGGACTTCACCAGAGCAAAAGCAGTCCAGTTTGAAATGTCACCTGAAACCAGTTCAGAAGTCACTGAGATATGACTGAAAAGGAACCCTCTGTAGCCTCCACCCCCACCCAGACAACTTGAACATAAAAATATTACCTGTAGGACAAAGACTGCCCAGAAACTCAGTGTCTCCCAGTTCGTCAGCAAGTCGAAGAGCAGACCTCGCTTGGATCTTCTCCAAGCAAAGGATGCATTATTACAGGCAGCAAATCACATTTTCTGGTTAGGGAGGAAAATGCTGCTAACCCACATCTTGCCAAAATAATAATAGTAACTTATTTAGTAACAGAGACACTGTTCTCTGTTCTTTTCTCATATTAACTCATTTAATCCTCACAATAATCTTAAATGTTATACTCGTTATATAGAAAAAGCAACTAAGACACAAATGTATACAGATAGTAAGTAACAGAGCCAGGATTTAACCTTAGACAGTCTGGTTCTAGCATTTACGCTTTTAATCACCATTCTTTTCTAACACTTTATGCTTATATTTGCAAATGAATTTCTGACAGTGTTATTAAATAGTATTCATTTATCTTTCTGGCAGGTGACTTAATGAAAGTACCAAGTTCTGAATTGAGGATACAAATTTGTAAGTGTATTGTTGACTTTTATCATGCAGAACCACCAAAAAAGCATATTACAGGTGAAGTTTTTAATGGTCTTTCAGTAATAACTTAAGTCTTTATAATACAGAATATTCTGTCTTATTTGTTTTTTAACTTAGAAAGACAGAGTGGGATCAACGTAACAAAATCAGGTGGTTGTTGTTGGTTTTTTTTTGTAGTCTCAAACTCTGGTCATTTTAAACAAAAAATTTTATATATTTTTTTAATTTTAGATTTGTATGATTTTTTAATTCTGATGCTAAACATTTGTGATTTAATTTTAAAGTCATACCCAAGTTTAATTATAATTATTACCATTAGTTAATGTTATTTCATAGCGTTGATAATATTATTTATTATTTTCTAACATTTTATAATTATTTATAATATCTGTCCCACCCAATTAAATGTTACATTCCTAATATTGACAATTCTCTATCATGTTTGGGAAAATAGCTCTGCATGTTACAGCTAAGGGATCTTAATATATAATGATAAAAATGAATCACACTGAAATTACACTGATAATCAAGGCAGAGGGCACTTGTGCTGTGAAGGATATGATGTCATTTAGGACATACTTCCTACCTTCATAGTTTCTGTAATTTATAATCTAGGAAGGGAGAGACAATATCAGTAATATTTTTAAGTTATACATTCCTTAACATAGATGGAAATAAAACCCTGGTAGAAATGAAAGATTATTCATGACTAGGGAAAAATAGGAAGACATCTGAAGTAAAAAAATGAGTAAGATTATTAAATGTCAAACTTAAACTATCGATGAGATAGACAGGTGAAAGTGTTTGGTAGACAGGAGACGTTAGATACTAAAAGCAGAGGCCAGTGATACACGTTTGGAATTCATCCAAACAGAGCTGAAAATTGAAGCCATCAGAATGGTTGAGTTTACTGGAAAAGCAAGGGACCAAGAGTGATATGGAGACTGCCCATATTGTGGTTTGGGAAAAAATTATCCAAAGAAATTGGCAGTGACAGGAGATTCTAAGAGGAGGAAGAAAACCTTAAGATTGCCATGTCTTGTGTGTCATGAATGACATGTTTGATGAAGCAAGTTGTGGTCTCAGTGGCAAATACTGCAGAGGCCTCTGTAATTGAAGAATCTGTGGTATCCGGAAAGTTGTGGTTAACCTTTGGCAGATTATTGCCATAAAGTGGTGAGGGCAGATGCAGGATTGAAGAATGAGAGGATTGTGGGAGTGGAGGCAGTGGGATGAGGGAATAGAGGCAGTGAGTACAGACTTATATTTTAAGATCAGATGGTGAAGATAAAGAAGGAAGATAGAGAACAGTTCAACTGGTAGCAAGATCAAAGAGAGATATTTAGATTTTGTTGTTTTTAATTTGTTTTTAGGTTGGGAAAAATGACGTATGTAGGCAGAGGAACAAGAAGCTAGTAAGTGGAAATGGGAGGGTGAAATTCCCAAAGAAAGCATGAGAAGATGGAATTAAGAGTGCAAGCTTGGGGCTAACCTTGGTAAGATACAGGCACCCTTCTTTAAGACAGAGACACAAATGATGTATGAGATACAACAAAGGGGTGAAGGGGCAGACAAGTGAGCCTGACCTTAATTTGATCAGGCTCTCACTAACTGTCACACAGTTGGTTTCAAGTGATGGGCATCTGGCACCTCAGCCGACAAGTCCTCAGTGGAGCAACTGAGACATAGCCCTGGAGATAGGAATCAAGTCCGTGAGCCTTCTTATTACTCTGCCCTTCTATAGAAATGTAAACTCAACAGAAAAAGGTACAGTAAATTTAAGTATACATTTTGGGCCATTTCTATGATAGACTGTTATGCAAATAAAAAATCATGATTTAGGGAAGTGTTTTACAGAATGGGGAAAAACTTACAATAAAATGTTTAGTGGCTGCAGAGAAATATAAAATTCTGCATATATATAGTATATTGTTAAAGTTCTACACATACATTAAAATATCAACAAGAGGGCCAGCCGAGTGGTGCGTTGGTTAAGAGCTGGCTTGGGACGCCAGAGGGCCCTGGTTCGGATCCCACATATGAGGGCCAGTGACACTGCCCTCTACAACTAAGATGCTGAAAAACAGCTCAACCTGGAGCTGGGCTGCCCTGAGTCGCCGGCGACGGCGTAGGCTGCAGTCCCTGCTGCAGTGGGTTGCCATGGGCTACCGTGAGTAGCCAGCAGCCAGTGTGAGCAGCCAGCAGCCGCAGTGAGCGGCCGTCCAGAAGCCAGCGACTGATCTGCCTCCTCCAGGAAGAGCGCAATGATGGTGCCAACTTGGGCCAGTGAAGCAACGTCCTCCACAACTAGACTGAAGTACAAAAGGACAGCAACTTGTCTGTTCCCCTTCCCCCAATTCCCCAGCACTGTTCCCCTTCCCCCAATCCCCCAATTAAAAAAAATAAAAAAAAATATCAACAAGAAATACAGCAAAATGTTCATATTGTTACATCTGGGTGGTGAAATTGCAGGCAGCTTTTGTTTTCCCCTTTATACTTTTTAAATGCCTATCAGGAGTAGCTAGAGCCCACCATAGAGAACCCATCCCAGGAAGGAACAGGGCCTTGTCCCGGGCCAGAGTTCAAATTCAGAAAGATAAGACAAACTGACAGACATCCCAGAACCGTGGCAATGTTAAACAATCTAGTTAGTCTCAGAAGTCAGGAAGTCGGATAAGTGAGATCACTAAAAGAAAATGGCTGCATCTTAAGTGAGCAAGGACCCTCTGATGTTCATTTAATTTGTCTTGTTAAATGTCATTGGGCAGGCACCTTTCAACTGTATCAAAAGGAGAGGTAGTATTTCTCATAAAAGCTAAGGCAGAAGGAAATTCTTATAAGACATGTCACCAAGAATCAAACGTCCCTAAAATGTCATTATACTCACCAGCATGTATCAGAACAGCATTACATTTTTACCTCTCACTTCATTGCCAACATCACATATTAATAATTGTTGTCCCTCAGAAGCACTGAAGTAATGGGTAGACTTGAGTAGTGAAAACATTCAGTATTTATAATCGTGCCATTTTCCTTTATGGAAAGGCACATCTACTGACAAATAAGAAATATTGTTCTTTTTTAGAATTTAAGGTGTGTCCCCAAATTTGTGGTCTTATTTCAAATGCTACACCAGGGATCAGCAAACTACACACCTCTGGCCAAAGTCAGCCCACTGTCAATAAAGTTGTATTGGAACACAGCCATGCCCATTTATTTTTATATTGTTTATGCCTGCTTTCATGCTATGGTCGCAGAGTTGAGTATTTGAGACAGAAACCTTATAACTTGCCAGACCTAAAATACATACTACCTGGCATTTTATACAAAATGTTTGCCGATCCTTGTGCTAAACAAACCATTTTAAATGCCATACGCTTGTAAAAAGTTTTGTTGTTGCTGTTGTTTAATAATAAATTACTCATTCCTTTGTCTGAATGTAGATGACTACTATGTGAAATAACTATACTTATTTATCAACTAATTGCTGTAGGTTACCAGCAAGCCAGTTCATCATTTAAGATTCAGATGGCTGAAGGCGCAGGACTGGCAAAAGCAATGGTCCAATCACTGGCCTTGCTTGAAAATCAACTTGTTGAGAAACTTTGGGTACTTAAAGCTCTGCAACATCTCTCCACTTCTGGTGACTATATTATTACATTTGAATACTTTATTCTCAATTATTTTTGCTTCCGTCTAGCAGTGTCAAGACTGTGCAACATAAATAATGTTTAAATGTATTTGCAGAGGTTAACTGTACTTTAATGATGGAAGCACATGCAGCCAGCGGGCTCTGTGCTCACCTCAATGATCCAGATCCCTCTGGACAGCTTCTGTTTCGTTCGTCAGAAATACTTTGGAACTTGCTGGAAAAATCTTCCAAAGAAGAAATCATACAACAGCTTAGTAGCTTGGAATGTTTGCTGTAAGTATATGTGGTTAGATAGGAATGGTTTCCTACATTTTTGTTTGAATTCATGTTTAGTTAGGCTTTAGATTCATTAATGGGCTCTGTTTCAGGACATTTTTTTGAGCCCTGGTATAAATGCATCTGCACAATAACGAGCCATTTTTTCCTATGTAGAAGGCTTTTAAAGTAGCTTCTTGACAAAACTAAAGTATGTCTTTGAATATGTGTAAAGTAAAATTAGACATTTAAAAGAACTATTACATTTGTTCATTCAGTAAATCTGTTTTTTGAATATTTATTGTCATCTAGATACTGCAACAAGCCTTAGAAATAATATGAGCAAGCCTTTAGTTACTTATTCATTTATTCATCAAGCAATTATCACTTGCTATGCACCAAGTTCAGTACTAGGCCATCGAAAGACAATTGAAAACAATACAGACATGATCTCTGCTTTCGTGAAATTTGCATTATGTTAGGAGAGATGGACAAGTAAATAGGCAACTAAAAGTGAGCGTACTAAATGTTACAAAAGAGAATATCACAAGGCGCTGCATGTTTTCCAAAAGAAGGAGAATCAGCACATTTTTTGTTTGCAAGTGACTGAACACCCAACCCGACTGATTTAAGCCAAATAGGAAATTTATGGGCTAATGTAACTACAAAGTCAAGAATAAAACTGGTTTCATGTATTCAAGACTCAGCAACTATCAGGGCTCGGGCCCTCTTCATCTCTTCTTTCTGACTTCCACTGTGTTATTTTTCTTCACAAGGTCCACATGGTGAGACGTAGGAAGTCTAGGTTCACAACATCACAACCCCAAATCAAGCAGAAGAGAACACTTGCTATTCTGAAAATGCAAAGAAAATTCTTCGAATCGAGTCCCTGTTGGCTGTGGGCACTCTGGTGTGGGTCATATGCCCATTCCAGAGAGAATTACTAATGGCAGAGAGAAGGACTGCTCTGACTGATGAAAAGGAAGCGAAGGCAGTTCACAAGACCAAAAGTAGGGAAAGAGTGAAGCCTGAATAAAAATACGGATACTGTTATCCCAAGAAGGGCAGGAAGGCTGGTCCCAGGAAGCAAAGCGACATTGTGCAGGGAACCTGACCCAGACTTGGAGAGTTAATAAAAGCGTCCTAATGAACCCTACCTAATCTGACACCTGAATGATAAATAGTAACTGGCAACACAGAAGAGTTTTGCATGTGGACAGCATCCTTAGACGGGAACAGAAATGAAAATAGACTTTAGCAAAATCAAAAAAATTAAAAGAATTTCAATATGGTGAGAGCAGAGAGTACAGGGTAGAATAGTAAGACAGGAAGTAGCAATGTTAGCAGGGACCGTAGGTATCAAGAAAGGCCTGGTAAGACCTACGGTAAGAAGGTAGGACTTTATCGTAAGAAAAAAAAAAAACCCTTTAAGCAGTTTTGAAAAGGAAAATGATGTGATTGAGTCTTTATTCTAGAGCATTTTGACCACCATGCATGGATTGGATTGATGGCTTCTTACTTACCTGGATGTTCTCACTACAGTGAGTTAGAGGCAGATTTGGAAATACAGAAAAGAGTAGAAATACTTTGAAATGAATACTGTAATATACAAAGGGAAATTTCGTTGACAGACACCTAAGTAGTCCCATAAAAATGTGGTTCTAAAAATATGATTTTACTTTCTAGGGCTTTGAAGGAAGTATTTAAAAATCTGTTTATGAGAGGTTTTAGTCATTACGATCGTCAGCTTAGAAATGATATATTAGTGATCACTACAATTATAGCTCAAAATCCTGAAGCACCAATGATTGTAAGTATGAGTAAATTGTATTAATTTTAGTTGTGGAAGTAGTGGGAGTGGGGGGGCGGGAGCACTAGACTGTGTTGTAATATGTACTTTGTTGTAATGTCCAGTTATGTTGTAATGTCATGATGGTCACGGGCCTCCTCAGTCTCTGCCAGTTCTTGTTTCCATTGCCTTTGGAAACTTGAGGTCCTCCTCATATTTTATAAGTTACCCACAT